CTCAGCGCGTCTGGCGCTGTGTGAAGCTTTGAAATGAACTCTCCAGGCATGACACCGCTCCTTAAGTGAATTTAGAGCAGGAGCAGAAGCTGCAACGAACTGTTCGGTGCAGAAAGATTAGGTTTGTCGAGGTGAGGTTGGCCTTTTCCGCCTCCCTCTTTGCGCTGAGACACCTGGCCACCTGCCCAGGTTGCAACACAGAGGAACCGATGAGCTGAAGTGAGCACTTTTAGTCCGAGCCTCTCCACTTAGCACGCAGCCAAGGACAAAAGGTGTATGCATGTGTGTGTGTGTACGCACTGCTGTAAGGACGTTAGTGGAGCATGAACAATGAAAACATTCCTTTACAATAAGTGGGGTCCAGGGATCACAGGCTGAGGTGGCTCATCCTGAACAACAGCCACGTACATCCGAATAGATTACACAGTCCAATCAAAAAGTGAAACTAATAGATTAATTACACACAGACTGATATATTTCCACTCATTTCAGATTTTTTTCTTACAGGTTATGACTGTTCCTCAGAAAAAACAGGGAACCATTATTAGTTTTAATTAAGGAATAAACAGGAATGTGATTGTATAGCCTATAATGCCGGCATGGCATTTGTAACAATCACTTGTTAGGTCCTTTGTCAGTTTTGCTCATACAAACGACAAAGTTTTCTGGAGAGAAATGTTGAGCACACATGTAGGTCCTTTGGAAGTTATGTTCATTGTGCTCTTCTTATTGTGTGGGAAGGGATCCAGATTTACCCCACTGTTTTTATTTTTTTAATGACAGGAAACAGTGACACAATGTGGCATTATCTAAGAAGTTAGTTTGCTTGACATACGCACTTTTAGTTGACGTGTCAAATGAAGCTTTAGCTGCAGAAGATTGTTGCTAAAAAAGCTGGGTGTTCACTCAAGCTGCATTTCCAATGACCGGCAGAAATGACCAAAACTGTAATTCCAATTGTGCAAATCGGAATTGCAAAAAATTTTCCCATAAAAACGTTTTTGCATATCAATATGGTTTTTCAGCAGCTCCAGAATTATTGCATTTTGTAAAACTTTTTTTTTAAAAACACTTTTTTGCATCGCAAAGGTCATGTGATCACCAACTGGATGTTACTACTGGCGGAAATGACGAAGAAGACGACAGGAAGTTGTAGGAGGATGATGATAGTGTGCCTTGTTCCTGAATGACTTATTGCGGAAACAAACGTATTCACGTGATTTTTAATTACATTTTCTTAAATAATGCAATTGTGAAATAGTTTTTGACAAAGTTTTGCGCACAAATGAAAAGACAACTACAATGCTGCTGTGAAAGTAAAGTACCTTATATACACATCTTTGCATTGTGCTGACATTTTTTTATTAAAATTGTTTTAAAAAAATATATTTTAATATTCTGCCAACCATAATTTTCAGTTTTCTGTAATAATAAGCAACAATAATAACAAAAATAAGCATTTATAACTGACAGAGATCTGGGTTCATGTAATTTAATTTCCGTTTGGGATCAATAAAAAATGTTTTAACTGAATTTGATTTATCTATGGAGGGATTTATCAGTCAAAGTCACACAGAAAGCAAAGAATAATTTTATTTTTCCAGATTTATCCACTCACCTGCATGTGACACTTTTGGGTCATTAAGATGTTTCTCATTCACAAATGTCAATTTGGTAGCATAGATCATTTCAACACAGCTGAAGGACCCTGGCAACATTCTGGCTAACGTTGAAACAGCGGGTAAGCATGGCAACCGGGTGACGGTGAAGCTGAAGTTGCGCGTGCGTCCGCTTTGTTTACAAACCGCTCTCCATTCGTTAGTGTGAACCTTTACCAGGAAGGTTTCAGAGTGCGCCCTTGTGGGTCACGCATTAATTTGGAGGTGCCTTTGATCAACCCAGTTATTAAAAAGCGTGAGCCAGATTGGCGTAATTAAAAGCTGTGAGATCAGCTGCAGGCAGCAGCAGCAGCAGGCAGAAGCATCAGCAGCAGAAACAGCTGCTGCAGCAGAAGCAGGCAGCAGCAGCAGCAGCAGCAGAAACAGCTGCAGCAGCAGAAACAGCTGCAGCAGCAGGCAGAAGCAGGCAGCAGAAGCATCAGCAGCAGAAACAGCAGAAGCAGAAACAGCTGCAGCAGCAGAAGCAGGCAGCAGCAGAAACAGCAGAAGCAGAAACAGCTGCAGCAGAAGCAGGCAGCAGCAGAAGCAGGCAGCAGAAGCATCAGCAGCAGAAACAGCAGCAGCAGAAGCAGAAACAGCAGCAGCAGCAGCTGCAGCAGCAGCAGCAGTGTTGCTCCACGAAGAAGAAGAAAAAGAAGCAGATCGTTTGCCTTGAGTCGGTCTCTGCGTGGATGGCTGACGCTGTGACTTTGCTTGCTCTCGCTCTCTCTCTTGCTGGAGATGAAAGTGGCCCGACAGGATAGAAACGGCCACAGGGCAGAAGCTGTCATCATCAGACATGAGGTGGCGGCGCTTTGTGCTGCTGCTGTCGTCACGGCTGTTTGCCCCGTCAGACTGCCAAACACGGTGTGAACAGCATGGAGCTGCTGCTTTCGTCAACCATGTGTTGGTGAATCGCTGAGGATTCACACAGTGGCTCTGGAGGAAAGAGTCACAAAACATTTTGACTTTATTTATTATTCTGGTTTTGACACTTTGACTGAAGCAAAAATGTAGAATAAATACCTCATAATTATTGTAGTCAATTTCAAGAACATGTTTTTGCTGTTGTTTTAGAGACGTTTTTACGTCTCTTAATCATTCAGGCGCCATGATGGACGTCAGAAATGAGGGACGGGAGTATTGAACAGAAAGACTGAAATTGTTCTCCTCAGTTGTTTTTGTCAGTTTATTCATGGATTCTTCTAGTTTGAGCTCCGATAATTTGTCTGTGAACGTAACACACCTGGTTGCGGCTCATAGACGGGGGGATTTACAGAGGTTCTAAACAGCTGGCTTAGAAACCGACCCAAACCTGCTCCCTCCCTCCTGACGTTGATCAAATTACTGAATTCACACCACATGATTTGTGTCACTATGTCATAAACAGGGTTTCCCTTTACACCGGAGCAACATTGAAACGTACAAAAGATGAGGTGCTAACCAGTTTTTTACCAGACATGCTAGGCTACATGATGGTGCAAAGATGATTATCATGGAAATAAATGACCGTGTTTCATGAATAATGAAATTTCCTGATGTCTTGATTGATTTTCTTCCTAAAACATCACAAAAAGCTGCTACATCTGAGCTCCTGTCAGTTCGGCATGCAACGTTGCTCCTCTGGGATCAACGTGAAAAGCACTGCAGCATCCTCGCTCTTAGCACCTCATGCTCCAGTTTGGGTAAATTCCCATATTACCATCTCTGAGTTGCTGTTCACACATGAGCGGCCTGAGTGACAGTGGCATTTATGAGCTTTTTTTTCCAACTCCAGACCCATCCGTTCCCTGGAGGCTGGCATGTTTTTTTTAAACTGTGCTCCCGCTGAGTTGAAAGTATCCAGCTGTGCGGCTCGGCCTGCAAAGGGCCCGGCTCCACCCGCCGTCGATAAGCCAGATTGACTGGACTGCAGAATGAACTGCAAAAACACAAAGTCCCACCGAGTCCCTTTGGTCTACTTTTTGGTGAAAATATCTTGGTGCACTTGAAATTAGACAAAACTAACTCATAAGGAACTTTTCAGCAAAATATAGAAGCTTGTTTTAGTCAATAACTCATTAATATTGATGAAAATTATTCACGTAAACAGTTAAATATATAGTGTAGTAACAATGCTCTTAAAAGTACATTTTTTCCAAAACAAGTAAATGTGAATAAATGTAGCTAGTCACTACCCAATTCTGTGTATAACATGAAAAAAACAGGTTAGATTTAGTATTTTTTGCAGCAACAGCATCATTGTTGTTCAAATTAACAGTTTCTGGCTTTAACAATTTATTCCTCCCCAGTTGGATGTTTATAAAAATATGTCAGTCTTACAGTGCTCTCATCAATTGAAAACCACTGAGAGCCTGAAACTGACATGACCTTAATCTGACCCTTTCTGCCCTGCAGTAGCTGAGCAGAGAAAGAGTGTTAATATTAAGTGGAAGAGATCCTGTGTGTTTTTCCTATTCTAATAAGTCGCAGTCAGTGAGACTCAGGCATTTCTGCTCTAACATTCAGAGGCGGGCAGCGTTTCTCCGCTCTTCTCCCCTCTGGCTCTTCCTCTCCGTGTGCTGTCTCTCTGACTCTAATCAGGTGGCCATTGTATATGGATTTACTGCCCTCTGCGCCCCCAGGAGGGAGATTTGATTTTTTTTTTTTCCCTTCTGCACTGGCTAATCTTTGCCTCTCCTATCCTGTTTTGCGTTTCTAATTTCATCTCTACTCCTCCTGCAGTTTCCCTTTTCCTGAGGATGATCAACCTCAGTTCCTGGAAGGATGAATTTATTCCCTGGTTTTCAGATATATTCCTACAAACATATATATTCCTTAAGTTAAACTGATATTAGATAATATCAGACAAATGATAAATGTATAATTTATTGTGATACATTTATTGTTGTTGTTAATAAATTCCAGAAAGAAAGTTTAAAACCTCACAAAGCTGTCTGCATTGTTGGGACAGTACAGTAATTCACTGTGATGCTACGCCCAAGGATGGTGTTTAAAAATATTAGTGGAAAGTGGCTTATGAACATGTCACTAAAAAGAAAGCCTGGAGATACCAGTGGAAAGTTTCTGAGGATGATTTGCGGAGCTTTTGCTTTTGAACACTATTACGACACATAGTATGTTCACATGCTGCGCCCCACACTGACTAACTGCATCTTTACACCTAAAATAAAATTACTCATGTTGGGCTATCTACTGGCTGGAATAAAGTTTGTTTTTTGCCAATGCAACTCCAGTCTAAATCTCAAATAGCTGTAAAATGTTATTAGTGCACACAACACTGGTAGTAAAGAACTTATTTGATCTCCATGTGTTTCTAACAGAGTTTGTTTTTGTTTGCAGCCATTCCCACTCTCCTGGTTCTATGGCTGCAGCAGTGCGAAGCAGCGAGTGGTCATGTGGACGCTGCACCTTCCTGAACGCAGGCGCGGCGCCCCGCTGCTCCATCTGCGAGGCGCCGCGCCAGAAACCCGATCTGAACCAAATCCTGCGGCTGAGCAGCACTGAGGAGCAACGCTGGGCCTGCCCACGCTGTACGCTCAACAACCCACAGGGATCTGGAGCCTGCTCGGTCTGTGGCTTCGGCCCATCGTCCGCCACCAACACCCCACCTACCACAACCATAGCCGTCACTGCCAATGGCCTCCCATCTGCTCCAACTGAGCCCTCGACACCCACAGTCACCCCCACGGTACTACTTGAGCCCAATGGACAGCATCCGGTCAAAGAGGACGCGTTGCGCCGCTCGGAGAGTAATGGAGAAGTGAGTGGCCATGAAGGGCAGAACCCTGGTTGGGCTTGTGCCCGGTGTACGCTCCACAACACCCCAGTGGCTCTATCATGCTCAGCCTGCGGCGGACCCAGAAAACTGTCTCTGCCTAAAATCCCCCCAGAGGCACTGGTAGTACCGGAGGTGCGTACGCCTGTCGTCGGGTTTCCCGTTCACCCAGCACCGTCAGCACCCTTAGTCATCGACCTCACAGAGGAGTCCAACACCCCCACTCCGCCTGATACTCAAGAATCTCCCCAGGTTTCGTCACAGGGTCTCTCTTCGCCTTATCCAACATTCCCGTCCCTCCAGAACAACCCCGTGCCCCGCAGCCGGAGAGAGGTCCCCCCACCAGTCCGCCCGCAAAGCCAAGGCACCAACAGTCCCAGCCCCACCTCCCCGTCTACGGCCGTCGTGCCCCCGCAGCTGGGCCCGCAGCGGCCAGCCAAGCCCAAACACGCACAACCCCAAGAAGTTTCGTACCCCAGCAAGCGCCTCAGCATCTTGGAAGAAGAAGACCCTCAGCACCACCCGCTGACTCCGGCTAACCCCACCTGGAAGTGCCCCAGCTGCTCTTTGCCCAATGCTGTTAGCTCAGCCAAGTGTGAGGGCTGCCGATCGTCAAGGGCTGGCGCTGACCTCATCGACCTGGTAGGTTGTGAAACGGTACGATTTACCCCAGCTAGTCCATCCAGTCCGGACTTTAGCACCTGGGCGTGCTCCAAGTGCACCCTGCGGAACCCCACCGGCACACCCAAGTGCTCAGCTTGTGGTTCTTCCAAACTGCACGGCTTTCAGGAGCAGCAGACCTCTCGCTGTTGTTCACACTGCGGCTCCACTTCGTGCTCTTGTCCACCCTCCTCCACCCCGTCGGGTCATAAAGCACGAAAACAGGCCCGGGTCTTCCCTTCCGCTGCCGGCGCTTCCTCCGGTTCGTCGGCCTCCGCCTCGTCTGGCCTCCAGGAGAAAGCAGGACAGTGGAGCTGCCCTGCATGCACGCTTCTCAACGACGTCAAGGCCAAGAACTGTGCAGCGTGCCACACAGCGCAGCAGTACCTCACCCTGCGCAAGGTGGTGAAGCCCCTGAAGAGGAGGGAGAGCATGCATGTGGAGGCTCGCCGACGGAACGATGAGGGAGAAGCCAAGGAGCTGTGGGAGAACATCGTCAGCTTCTGCAGAGAGGTAAGAGGAGCTTTAAACATGACCTTTTCTGCTTCCCTAAACAGGTTAAGATCACTCTGCAGGCTTTATAAATGATTTTCATTATGCTTTTTGCACAAAATAATTTATAAATAATGAGATTTTAGTCCGGTCAGTTCTGCCTATTTTGAGCGCCTTTCAGAAGGAGCTGTCACTTTAAATCCAAATAAGCTCCTGGCCACGCCCCCCAACTCAACGTTTTACAGTCACAAACAGATGCGCGATTATTCAACCGTACATCTTTGAAAAGGAAAAATGGAGTCTCCTCCACAACCAATAAGAATGTAACAAGTGGTTTCTGGATGGTAAGTCAACAAGAAAGCACTTGTCTTTTCCAGCAGCCATTGTACAGTGCATACAGTGGTAAAACCAGCTGACCATACATGCTGGAGTTGGTAGGTAACAGAAAAGAAGAAGGTTTTTGATATGACTCGTTTTCGAGACACAGAAAGGAATAAACTTATTGCCAAAAATCAGCTTGGTTTGTGTTTTTAAGCACTGAGGCTGGATTTAGAAACAGTATGAATTCAAATGGATGAAATAAAACATGCAAAATAAATTAAGAGCACATTAACCAATATTAGACCAACGTACTTAGTGGTTTGTTGTTCCCCAGCCAGAGAATCAGAACAGGTAATTTTTGCATTAATAAAATGACACTTAGAAATGATAAAACTGAATCCTTTTCCCTATAGCAGTGCAGACCTTCAGTTTATTTACATAAATCTCGCTATTGATCTCATCATCTCTGCAGTCATATGTCTTAGTACTGCCAGCCTAATTTAGAAACGCTGTCTGTAAACAACAGCTGGTGTTTGTAGACACTCTTTACTGCTTCAAGCCTGATCTATAAAAACCAGAGAGTGATGTTAAAATGCCGCAAAGGCAGAAAATTGATGCTAAAATGCTGCAGCTCTTTTCGTGGAGTTAATTAAAACTGAGCGTTCCTATTATTCTGATGCTAATCTGACTTTTTTCAGTCTTTTGGTGGCTCTGCCTTGGATGGGGCGAATTCAGAGTCTAAAGCGACGCTTAAGATTGAAACGTTGGTTCATCTTCTCAGACCCTCGTCCAGGTCGGGGTGAAAGTCGTTTTTATCTCCGAGAGTCTGGAAAACTGGGAATGTGGAGGAACACGGAGAGTTTAATGTTTCAGAGTGTTCCTGTCCTACTGTCCATCCGTTCCCTCAAGGATTTAAGGAATTTTATCCATCCATCCTTTAAGTCACTCTATATTCATCCATTCATCTGCTCAGCATCCTTTCAGCCAACCATTATCCATCATCCGTCAATCTCCTCCAAAAGTTAAAGAGCGTTTTCTCTTTTGCAGTAAAATGAGATCTTATTACTTTAAAGCTTTCAGTTTTCCCATAAAAAAATGTTTGAGGACATTTCCTGAAAGCTCAGGTCTGCCCAGAAGAATTTTAAATCGTGCGTCAGTAACCGCTCCGTTTTAACGGACCTCTCCCTGAAACTGAAACAGGCCGGGCCGCGGATCTGTTGCATTTCCACTTTGGTCTCAGATACGGGCCAGATAAGACGGATTCAAAGCTTGTGTCTCATCGCTTACGACGGCGTGTGTTGGCGTCAGAGCTGCTGCGCGGGATCAAGTAACGGCTCAGAGGAACTAAAGTCATCAAGTTCAATTCGACTGCACTGACCCAGAACTACTCCTGCCAATAATCTGCTTCTCTTCTGGCTCATCAAATTGGATAATTTTTCTCCAAAAAGCAAAATCGGTTTTATTTATATTTTTCTTGTTTGTTTGTTTTTATTAACTGCAAAAAATACATACAAAACACCTGCTTGGTGTAAAGTGTCGTTCCCAACATGACAATAAAAAAGATAATAAAACTTAATTCTTTAAATGATCATTCTGGTCGACTTTGAGACCATTAATGTGTAGATGAAAACTTCTATGTTTTTTGAAAGGTTTCAAAAGCTATAATTTTGTCAAAATTGTTGATTAAAAAAAAAATATATATATATACATAATTTTTTTTTTTTTCAGGAAATATCATCAGTTATATTAACTACTCGCACTATAAAAAAGTCAGATTTATGGTAAAATACTATAAAATTCTGACAACTTCAGAATTTTAACAAATTTTACTGCAAATTAGAGAAATTTACCGAATGGAAATTACCATATTTATTTGGTAAAAATTCGTCCTGTAATATTCTGGTAACTATCAATGTCTGTATTTTACCATAAAAATCTTGTCTTTTCGTTTTACAGTGTATGGCAGGTCTTCCCAAAAATACTTTAACATATTTGTGGTGGTTTTAGTGTTTCAGAATGTAAAGTAGAAAAATCAGACTTCTGTTTTATGGTGAAACTGCTTCCACTCAAGTTTAGTTTTGTTTAAAAATAACAGAATGAAACAAATGGTACAATACATATTGCATATTCGTAAAACTTGGTGAAACAAAAACAAAGCCCTGATTGATTTTGTGCTTTTCACTCATCATAAGGGTGAAAAAGCAAAGATATCTCTAAGCAGTGCAGAAATCATATTTATAAGCAGCGCATACTTCATGTGCTCTTGGAGTTTCTGAGCACATTTCCCTTAAATTAGCTCTTCATGTCGCTGTGGTTCTGCTTCTGATCCCTTTCAATCTCTCAATCCTAATAGCTTCTGTGATTCTCTGTTTCCCTTTGATTTATTCGCCACATTTATAGTATCAGCAGCTGAAAGCTAAATGAGCTGCACGTCCAAAGAGCTTTTATATCCACAGGTTCTTCATTCTGATGCATTTGTCTGTAATATGTACCAGCAGAGCCATCATTAAGGTGGGAAAATAAGTTTTTGTTATTTAAATCTACAGAGCCAGTCAGAAGTTTACATACTCTTTAACGCCGTGTTAAATTCAGGCTTCTCTTCAGCAGATGAATATGTAACAAATGTTTCACTTTTGGGCTACCAGACTATCAAATATCTGGATTAATAGAAAATGACAAAAATGCCTCAAAGTTTATTTTTGTCTTTTGCATTTTTTTAAAAAAAAATTTACGTTCTAATATAGCAATAAATCAATTAGTTTCATGATTAGGCCAATCATAATAACAAATTTAGCTGGAGAATAAATTGTCCCAGAACTTATTGTGATAAACGATAATATCGATAAGATAATAATGGCATAATAATGCAAGAACACATTCTGAACGGTCAATAAACTTAAAATTTTAGAAAAAGACATTTAAAATATCCTAAATAAATCAAGAAAACAACAGAAACAACAAATACAATGAATTATGAAGTCTCTGTAAACAAAATTTCCTTTCAAAAGTCGCCTAGTTGAGACCAAAGCACCAGACTGGAGACTTTTATCATTCAGTTTTTGGCAGAAAGAGAAAAATGACGAATCAGGCAGGTGAAAATGATTGAGTTTCTTTTAATTTATCATGTGATTAATTGGTTTATAGTTTATTGTGACAAGCCTACACATGATAAACTAAAACAAACGCAACAATTTCCATTTGTATGATGGACGACAGAAATCTTCACTCTGCTGCTTTAGGTATCGACTGAAAAAAATGTTTTTTGTCTCCAGTGTTAAATGTTCATTATAATATTAAGGTTCCTGATCTTTTAGCATATGTTCTTGCTATTATTATGTTATTATATTAGGCCGTTATCCTACTTGAGAATGGTTTAGAAACAGCAATATTATTGTGCATCGCGATAACGTCTTGGATAATTTATTATTTTCTTTAATGTTCATAGATCAAACCACTTTGAAACCACTTTGAACTCCTTTGTTCAGGTTCTGATTGGTCCAATTCCCTGCAACAGCTGTTTGGAGACACAAAGCTGCCCTCCCTAGAAACTCTGGGCTCAGATGTGGCAACCTTTATGTTCCCGCTTTGTGTGACCCGGCGTCGAGCTCAGGTCTGCCGAGCAGAACCTCTGATGAGCCTTTATTAGGTTGTCATGGATATGTGCCGGAGCCAGTCGGAGGGGTCCGTTTAAAACCCGATCGTCAGGACCGCTCACTCTGAAGCTAATGACACAAATCTGATTAAACGTGAGGAAATGCCGACGCAGCAGAGCTCTGAGGCGTTCAGATTCAGGTACCAGGATTTGTTCGGATGACTGAGTGTGTGTGGCCCGTTAACACGCCAGCATTGCACCAATCATCCCGTGTTTACTGAAGTGAGCTTTAGGATGCATTATTAATGGCGTCTTTGAAAGTCACAGGGCACGGCTGTGTAAGCGTGGGAGGCAGCTTGACTCAGTAGAGAGGAAGGATATGGCATATTCTCCTCTCGCTGCCTAATTTGAGTCCTTTCTCTCCTGGACTCATATTTTAACTCTTTAGCTCTGCTTCTCTGGGATCTTCAAAGTGATTTCTCATCTCCTTCCCTTCATATCTGTCCCCACATATGTTTTATTCTCCTTTTTTCTGCTGATATCTCAAAATATTACACTCCATCCACTCAACTGCTCTCATTTCCAGTGCTTGCAACAACGTGTGTGCTAATGCTAAGGTGAACACGGGGCAGAAACCTATATTTAGCAGCAGAACAAGACGGGAGTGGAAGTGAATTTAATCATTATCAGCATAATTTCCTGCTGTTTTTTTTGTACAATGGTGCAAAAAAGGACCATACCTTGCAACATCATTCACACCCCTTAAACTTTTCTTACTAAAACTCTGTGTTTTTACTGAAATTTTATGTGATAAAAGAAAAAAGGATTTCAGAGAACAGGCAGCGGGTTGAAGACCAAGAAGACAACAAACAGACAACAATCGCTTCAATTGTTTTAAAAATTGATGGGATGTTTTTTTTTTTTATTACATCAACAGTCAAAATGTGCAGAATGAAGCATCCCCATGTGTAGAAAATGTCCTATTCAAAGTCTAGAACTAAATATAAAAGCAAGACTTTTCAACTTTTTCAGCCAGTTTTATACTTTTGCACTGCACTGAGAAGTAATGCTGATGTAAACATTCGTCTTCCTAATTCATCTGATTGAAGGTAATAAAACTGAAACCAGAAGAAACCCTCAGCAGAGGAAGTTTAATCCCAATGAAAGCTTTCTGTTTCCCTTTTTTTTTTACACGTTGGCAGAGCAGCTATGGATCTACAGCGGATGTTTCAGCCTGCGTGATTGTTTTTCTTGCCTTTTTATTGGATCAAGCAGATGGTGTTGTTGTTGAAATGTAAGTACAGGCTATTGCAGGCTTTGGCCATATTACACCAGGCAGCAAAGCCCAACAGCAGAGCTGCAGTCATGTCATAAAAAATATTATTTTCTCACCTGAGGCTCATTAGTCTCTGCTGGTCGTTGGATTTTGACTTTCTTTGATTGATTTTTGTTTTATTTTTTTCTTCTAAGAGCGCTCGATGCCGGCGCTCCAGAGGCTGTCGGCTCAGAAGTAAACACCACTTGTAAACTGTGAAATATTTCAAGGCTCTTTCTTAGAGATCAACAGAAACAGGCTCCAGATTTTCTGCTTCTTCTTTTTTTTTTTTTTTTTTTGCCGCCCTTTACTCCAGCTGGTTGTTGAAGTTCTGACTAATTCCCTCCGTTCTGCTCGTGCCAGCCTGTTCCCGGACAGTTTTGTCTGCGTCTCTAATAAGGACTCCGCTGTGAAATCCCGTCCTATGGCTCTTTGTCTGCAGATTTGAGATATCATTGAGTCACATGTAGATATTTGGTAGCGAGCTTTCTTCCCTACGGAGATGCAGGTCCGCCTGCCAGCTCTGTGTAGTCTGGGAGACGACGGGATCGCAGCAGGTTTTCCCTGCGCAGCGTTGAATTTGCTGATTCAGGTCGGAGGTCTTAACATGCTGGCACCGGTTCAGGGACTGAATCAGAGACGGTGTGGCCATGTTTACTTGGCAAAGACTCTCATACATGCTAATGGATGCCTCATCCTGACATGTGCAAATAAAAGAAAATGAATTGCTCTTTTTTAAGATTCATTTTTATTTTTGTCCCTTATTGCTGGAATTAAGGAGGCAGTATCGTGCTCTTAACTCAAGTTAATCCTTTAATCTCACATAGCAACCAGTCAGCTGTGCAAAATGCACCGTTAGACGAGTCACGGCTTCGAAGCGTAGTTTCAGCTCCTTCAGACTAGCCTGTAGCAATTAGCAAACGCCTGGTGCAACTAGGAGCAGCTTCTCAATGAAACCCAATTTCAAGAGGTTAAAGTAGGAAGTAAATTTCTGTTTTTAAGTGATATAAAATGTTAACTTTAAGTAGACATATCTTCATGAGACTGTCTTGGTAAGGAGGAGTATCTTCAGTCATAGGCTTCTTCGGATTCGCTGTAATGCAGACTGCTACAGGAGATCTTTCCTGCCAACAGCTGGCAGTGTCCACAATAACACTTGAATTAAATATTTAACAAATACGGCACTTTTTTAGCAACTGAAGGCATAATAGTTACTTGATTATAGTATAAAATTCCTGGAAAATCCATAATTCTGCCCCTTTAACATTGCAGACAGGTTAGTGGTCTTTGCCCTGCACAGGGTTCAGGTTTAAGCCTGTGACCTCCACATCCTGTAAGCCATATGGGACGGTCGAGGTGGAGCGGATGCATCGGAGTGACTCCGTCTGGGAACCGCTGCAGCATCAAGGCTGCAGAATAGGATTGTGGGGGATGGTTAGCAATCAATTCGCTTCACTGTGAGCCACCAGTTGTGCCTTGCAACACAACAGGCCCGGCTCACTCCTTCCACAACGAAAGGAAACAGAAAACGTTTTGCTGTGTGCCCTCTGTGGCGCACTCAGAGCAGCAGATGCTGTCGCTTTGGATGTCTTTATATGCCAACTCATCCATGTATGAGAAACAGTGGCAGCAGGAATTAAGTGGAAGTATGAAACGTTTCAAAGAGGAAGCAGTTAAAATGGCACCTGAAAGAGACGTTAATGGATTTTCTACTAACAAAATACACTTAAATTCAAATAACAGCATGAATAAAAGAAAATGGATGAAATGATGCTTATATGACTTCAAACTTATTTCTGTTTTTACATCCCAGCTACTGTGGAGTTTAATTTACAGGAGGACGTTTTAGTTATCTGCTGGGCAATATAGACTTAAAGGTTTATAGCCATCTTTTGTGGCGCTGTTGTGATTAATAAAACTGATTATAATAGACATTCTTTACTTTAGCTAATTGTATGGCTGTGACTGCATGGCACAGAAATTACGGCCCCACAAAAGCAGATATTAGTCTTGAGAAACATTTATCTTTGTAAAACGTTTTTTAAGACAACACTCCCATAAAGAAGTGGGATTTGTATCACTAAAATGCTCATATTTTTAAAAATTACTGATAATTATTGATACATTTTTATTGAACAAACAGTGAAAATTGTAAAAAACAAAAAAAACAAAAACAGCATTTCAAAGAATTTTTATACTTCACTGGTTAGAATTTATCATGAATACCATAAATCTAAATTTATTACGATAAATAAGTGATACAATAAATGGCCACCACGATTGTTATATAGTTTCTCTTGTTGTTTTTCTTTCTATTTTGTCTCTATGCATCATGATAAATCTGAAAATGATCTTTCAACCCTCCACTTGATGTCTCGTGACCCCCTGAGGGATCCCGCCCCCCACTTTTGGAACCCTTGTTCTAATAAGTCTAAAGCTGATATTGTTAAAATAGTTCCTGCAATGTTATAGCTACTAATATGATTCATATCCTGAAAGAAAAGAAATGAGGTGCAGATGCAGAGTACCGTTTGCCGAGCTTTGAGCGAATCCTCTTCAACGTCTGCCGTCTCTTTCTCGTGTTTTTCCAGAACTCTGTGAACTTCGTGGACGACAGTTTCCCCCCAGGCCCTCGCTCCGTGGGCTTCCCCGACGGCGACAGCGTCCAGCAGCGGATCAAAAAGTGGCTGCGTCCCCACGAGATCAACTGCAGCAACTTTAAAGACAGAGGTGTCAAATGGTCCGTCTTCCGCACGCCGCGGCCCTCCGACATCCTCCAAGGGCTCCTCGGAAACTGCTGGTGAGGATCTGGAAGTGCATCCAAAACGCACACAGTCCCAACAAATCTGCGACTGAAAACGGTCTGAAGTTAGAAACAAAAGGTTTAGGAGATGACAAAAGTTGGCTCAAACTAAGGGGAGGAAGTAACACGTCTTATTTGAAGTGTACTAAGATATTTCCACTAGAAGCAGAAGATTTTGTGTTTTTGCAGTGCAGAGCTCATTAATCTGTGTGCCCTTCAGAGGGCCTGCTGAGTGTTTCCATCTTCCATCTTCCTCCACACACATACAGGAACAGTTAAATGTCCAAATCCAAGTTTCCACTTCATCACCAGGACACAGGTTATCAAACATCGCCCTCTCCAGAGGCAACTCGGTTCTGTCACGACAGGATGTAACCCAGATTCTCACAGTCGAGGGAACTACTGAGCGCTCCTCACCTTCGTCCTTGGAAATGGTCGCAGCTGAACGCGACTTCACAATAACGTCATCCATCGTCTGGACCAGAGGTTGCAGATGTTTTTACTCTCAGTCCAGCTGAAGTCAAACTGGTTTAGAGCCTGAAATGTGAACTTAATAAATATCTACTACAGGGAAAAGTGAACGCTTTTTTTCTGTTTTTATGTTTTAAAACATTTACACAAAAGAGGATTGATTTTTTTTTTTAAATGAGATGTTTCCAACGTCATAATGAACAAAAACATATCACGGATGCTTGTGTCATTTTGTTATGGAAGTTTAATGCAGAGTTTCTTCCATAAAAAAGCTAAAATCTACGTTTATTTGAAGCCATCTGTTGGGTCTGTACTTTTTAGTCAGATTAGAGGAACATTGTGGACGTTTGCACACAGAAACTCTTTTCGCTTCAAATATATTTGGAATGCCTTTTCCCTAAAATAAGCATACTAGCCATTTTGTTATTTATTAGCTATGTATATTGTACTGACTAGAGAAAGTATAAGACAATATGGTGGTGATACCGCGCATGCTACCGGCAGCATTTTGGCTAATGTTACCAGTTTTAATAATTTTAGATTTACTCTCATGTTTGCATACTTAATGGAGTAAGTCCATGTTAGTCAGCATGCTTGTGATTCTCCACATGCTATCGATTACATTTTAGCTTGCTTTATCATCAATGCTAATTTTTAGCATGAGAACGCTGGGTTTCAACAGACGGGCACTCTTTCTTCAGTAATGTTCTAATTGTTTTTAATCTGTTACTCAGGCTGTTCTTCCATTAGATTGATGCAAACTATTCTTTTACCCATCCAGGGACCTCAGAAAATTTAGAAATCTGAATGTGGATGCTAGCATTAGCATTTTGGACATGTTTAGCATTGAGAAGCTATTCACTGACTGGCTAACTTCTTTTATTACAACTTGAACACAACAAGCTGTTTCCAGCATCCAGTCATGTGATTTTGGGGGTTTTTTGAAGCAGAAAAATTTCTTTGTCGTCCATAAATGTTGTTGCGGACGTCACGTGTGCGTCAGATTTATGGGTGCACCCGAAACACGAGAATTCAAAGGTTCCGACTCTGGACTTTTGTTTATAAAAACAAACAAAAAAACTATTATATTGCTATATATTTTGCTATTATTGCTTTAAAATTATAATTGATTGATCATAATTTAGCGTTAAAGTCTTGGTTGTAGTTTACTTTTCCCCTGCTTTGCTTCATTCACAGGTTGCTTCTGTAGATCAAACTCTCTCTTTATCATTTGTAAACTCGGTTTGGAAAATAAAATACTGCTTGTATAGAAGTTGGCAGTGAATCAGACGCATTCAAGACTAATTATATTTGCTCATTGACTCCAAGCTTCCTCTCTGTTTTTTGTTTCTTCTGCATATTTTGCTTTGAAATAAATTCCTCGTAAGTCGGATCATCATGTTGTCCCCTCTTGCCCCCCAAACATAGAAGAATTACCATTTTCAGATGGATCTGGGTTTTTCATTAACTCATTTCTCGTGCATGCTAATGAGGATTGGAGTCTCTGCTGCAGGGCAAATTAGCAGTAATGGGGAGTTAACCAGAAGGCGTGCAGATCCGACTCTCAGAATGCAATTGATTTTTGAATGAGGAGAAATTATGCAGAAAGATTCATAACTGCTCAAGGTACAACTTTGGAAAATATTTTAATGCAATGATTATGGTTTAATGGCTGCTTCTTTCTGTTGTTTCCACATCCATCCGTCAGTCCCAATCTGCTCTTCACCTCTGATTTCTCGTTCGCCTTTTCTTATTTTCCTCTATGTTCCAGGTGATTGACGGTTCTTTGTGTTTCCAGGTTCCTGAGCGCGTTGGCAGTGCTGGCGGAGCGGCCGGAGCTGGTGGAGAGAGTCATGATCACCAGAACCATCTGCCCAGAGGGCGCCTACCAGGTCCGGCTCTGCAAAGACGGGACATGGACCACGGTGCTGGTGGACGACATGCTGCCCTGCGACGACTACGGATACCTCCTCTTTTCACAGGTCAGGACCTTCAAGGAGGGATAGATTCATTTTCTATTATTAGAACAAAGCAAAAATTACAATAACTACCAAAGTGGGTTTTTTCTTCACATTTTACAACTAAAAACATTTATTAAATAAATTAGCATAAAGTATTTCATAATTGTTTATAATGTGTATATTTTTTCAACATTTCAGTTCAAAAGTAAATTGTGAAGCATGGTAGTGGCAGCATGATGCTGTTTTGATGCTTTTTTTTTTAGCAGGGATATTGAATCTGATCCAAAGTGATCAAAAAATGTAACCTGTTACATCAAGTCATATGTGTTAAAATGGCCTAGTTAAAGCACCAATCTAAATCAACTTACGAATCTATGACAGAAATAAAAATAAATGCAGATATCTATAAATATAATTAGTTTTTTATTTTTAGAATAACAGTAAGGCCATTGGATTCCTTAGACGGTTAGCATAACGTTCAAGTAATTAATTTAATAATTTTTTTTAAATTCTTTCTAAAAGCCCCTCCATTACCTCCACTACCTGGAGGAGCCCTGCAGAAACCAGAGTATTTATCTGTAGGTACTGAGACCAAAACAGCTCATTATTCCACTTTTATCACAAGCGAAGCTCCTAGGACTCCTCAGCAGCAACGGCTAATTAATCAGCAATGACTGCAAATAAAATGTTATGCAGTATGGAAGTAGTTAATAACATAAAACATACCCGCTGGAGGAAACTGTTCATCTCCACAGCAGGTAAACAACATTCCTTATTGAGATGTTATCTTGTAGAAACCAGGTTTGCACAATCGAGCATTACAAGTATGTAGGGGTGTTACCTTTTACCTTTAATCTGCTTATCGTTTTCATAAACCTTTGCACATGTCATTTGTACATTCATTGACAGATTGTCTGACTGGAATGAAAAAAATTCCACTAAAATAGAGATAACGTTCATTCTTTTTCCTCCTGATTTCACTGCAGGCACAAAGGAAGCAGCTCTGGGTGGCTCTGATCGAGAAGGCCCTGGCCAAACTCCACGGGTCCTACTTCGCCCTGCAGGCAGGGCGCGCCATCGAGGGCCTGGCCACTCTGACCGGGGCGCCCTGCGACTCCCTCATGCTCCAGGTCAGCTCCACTAATCCCCGAGAGGAACCCATCGACACCGACCTGATCTGGGCCAAGATGCTGAGCTCCAAGGAGGCTGGGTGAGAGCTGGGCGGGGCTACTGACCGCTTCAAAGTACCGACCCTTTACACGTGGCGTCACACTCTCCAGAACTCCGCCCACTCCGCCATGATGGACGTCAACACAACCATGAGCTCCTTTAAAGCTAGTCTAAAAACAAAGATCTGTAACCTTATATCACTTCTATTTAGTTGATTTCACCTTATAAATGGTCACAGAGTGCTGCAAAACAGACAAGGACGTTAACCAAACTTGTCGTTTCATTTTATAACTTTTAGTGACCAAAGATTGATAGCAATAATAATGACAGGTAAAATCCCGGATTTGCAGCAAACACTTTTACAAGGGAGGAAGACTAACATTCATGCACTTTATAAGTTTGATTAGAAAGATATCAAACGTTGCTTTATGGAGAAGGTGCGCCTAACTATTAGTAAGCATGGAAACAATGCCACACCGTCATGTCGCCTAGCATGTATGGGAAAAACTGGTTAGCATCTCGTCTTTTGTACGTTTTTAAGTTTTCTCCGGTGTAAAGGGAAACGCTGTTTATGACGTAGTGATATAAATCATGTGGTGTGAATTCAGGTAAACCCGGAAATTTGATCGACACGTCAGGAGGGAGGAGGTTCGGGTCGGTTTCTAAGCTAGCTGTTTACAACTTTTGTAAATCTATGAGCGCCAATGCGGTGTGCTACGTTCACAGACAAATTATCCGATCTCAAACCAATAGAAGCCATGAATAAACTAACAATAACAACTGAGGAAAACAATTTCAGACGCTCTATTCAAGACTCCCGTCCCTCATTTCCTGGAATGATTGAGTGACGTAGCAGCAAAGGGTCAACAGAGGGATTTTTAGTCAAAGTCACGTTGCGTCATCTGCTGTTCTACTGCGCATGTTGCCTTCAGAAGGCTGACAAGAATATATTACTCTATCCACTTAAATTATTTACAATCAGGCTGATAATTCAGAGATTATTTTGTTTGGATAATAAATCCAAACAAAAGCCGCTCGTCCAGTTGGACTTTCCACAAAAAGGACAATCTGAGTCCACTGAATTATTGCAGCAGCATTTTACCTAGGAAGAAAAATAGTTGAATAGAGAATCGCTGGGATGAAAAACGGAGACGGTACACAGTTAGCTGCATCCGTAACTCTATCTAGGGCTCTGTCCATGAAAGAGACAAGGTTAAATACGTAATTATTGGAGCATCTGGGTCCTCTGTGGCTGAAGAACAGAGAGAACATGGAGTTACTGGCTGCAATAACTCATCTGATGGATCCTTCCAGGAAGGTGACACATCCAGGCATAGAAACATCACAGCAGGCGAGAAAACATCTCACTTCTGTCAACAGTACAGCAAATAATAGATAAATGCATAGACAAAGAGGAGAAGGAGCAACTCGAGCTACAACTTAGTCTGTCTACTTGTTTCACCTCATAACTGGAAGATCTTCCTCCTGTTTTATTTGATTTTAACTCTTAAGAACTGGGAAGCCTATAGTTGGAGAAAAAATTTGATTTTATAATATTTTAAAAGCTATACCTGAAACATGCATTAACAATAAAGATTTGTTCTGTGTTGTTTGCATAATTCTCACAAAAAGATTGATCCCAGGCCCTGAGGAATGCCATAGTTAATTCTGAATTGTGAGGAATAGACTGGTATTAGTGAAATAAACCAGCTGTTCGCTTGATCCCTGCAGAATTATCTAACTAGACCAGATTTATATAGGTTTATACAGGGGTGTCCAAAGTCTGGCCCGGGGGCCATTTGCGACTCTTGGAATGACTTTGTGCGTCCCAGACCACAGTTCAAGAATAGCTCCGATTTATTTCACCAGATTGTAAATGGTGTTACACTTAAAACAACTTTAAGAAACATTTTCACTGAACAAAAAAAAATGATGCAGGCAAAATTGATCTTTTATTTACCAGAATTTATTGCTTTCATTTTAATTTAGTTGCACGTAACGCCACAATCAGTAACTCTTACTCGCGATTGTAAGAGTTACTGAATTGGTGCACCCATTTATTTATTAAAATGATTAAGTTTGTATCTTATTTTATTTGCCTTGAATACAATCAACATGAGATTCTTTCTACATAGAAAGAATCTCTAAAGGTTTTATTAAAATATGTTTTTACAATAGAATTGGTTTTGCATTTTTCAAAACGAGATAAAATTTTAGTTTCACATGATTTCTTTTTGGGGCAATAAAATAAATAAATAAATAAATAAATCATGGGCAATAAATCATGGATAAAATCAATATTTTGTTGTTTGCCAGTGTAATCCTGTAATAATTAGCATTCAGCAAAGATAAGATGAAAGTATGTGACTGCATGTGCGTTCCTTGTATTTGTTAGGTTTCTAATGGGAGCTTCTTGTGGAGGCGGGAACATGAAGGTGGACGACGCCATTTATGAGTCCTTGGGTCTGAGGCCCAGACACGCCTACTCCATTCTGGATGTTCGCGATGTTCAGGGCTACAGGTAGAAACCGCTCTGACTGCGCTCAGCGTCTTCATCCCTTTTTCTCCTCCTGTTGTTTTTCCACCATTTATTCACTGAATGGTGCAAAATGTGTTGCTTTCTCTTTGAAAATCCTTCTTCTGTTCCTCGTGGATAAATGAGCCAAAGACTTGATCACCCTTGAAAACAGATGCACATCACTTCACATTAATCAATGCAATCATTGGTGGATAGTTCATCACGAATTGAAAGCCTCTTCTGTCTTGAAAGAAGCTTAAAGTCCCAAAAATTATCACATTTAATCTGCTCAAGTGCCACATGTGGTCACTTCAATTTGCTCTGAAAATAAAAGGCTGAACAGAAAATCGTTTCGGTTTCAGGTCATTGAGGAAATTACAAAGACGTTTCAGAACTGATTGAATTTTCATTTGCTTTATCTCAGATTCACCATTTTGGGTTTTTATGATGTTTTGTAGTGAGACGGTGGAACTAAAGGTGCATTCAGACCAATTTTGTTTAGTCCGCTTTAACCCAACGCTGGTCTGCTTGCCTAGAAAGTCCGGTTCGTTTTGGGAGGCGTGAATAATCGAACACTGAGGTGGACCAAAAAACCCACGCACCGAGTTGTCAGTTCGGTTGAAGTGAACTCTGGTGTGGTTAAAATTTCTATGTGAACACCAAGTGAACTGGATCATGCTTTGATCTAAAGCACAATGCATTCTGGGTAAATGCAATCAAAACAAACATGCAAGTAATGCTGGTGGGAGAAATGGCTCCTGGATTTTTACCAAAAGAGAAATTCTATGGCTGATAAAATCCACTTGTTTTCATTTGGTGAAGTAGATTTTTATGTTATTTCTTTCAGTGGTTTTTAGTGCAGCGCCCCTACAGGGCAAGAGGGGAAAACCAGGTTTACCTGGTTTAGTTAATTTGACTCATTTCAGAGTGAAAGCAAATCGCAGCAGCAGAAAATGTAACAAACGTTACAACTTCAGTCCTGATGGACTCAAACCGAGTCTATCAGGCGTAAAAACAAGTTGTTTTGCAGGTTGCTGCGGTTGCGTAACCCTTGGGGTCGCTTCTCCTGGAACGGCAGCTGGTCGGACGAGTGGCCGGACTGGCCTCAGCACCTCCGGCACGAGCTGATGGCTCATGGCAGCAGCGAGGGCGTCTTCTGGATGGAGTACACCGACTTCATAAAGTAAGAATGATTCTACATAAAGACACCCTGCTATGGGGATATTTTGTTGTTATTGTTTTCCAGGATTAAACTTGCGCTAACTGTAAAAAGTGGATAGCCAAGCATAAGCTTCCACTAAAGGTTTATTTAGTTCATGTGTTTAAAACTTCATTCTGCTCTCTGTGTTTTGGTTGATGACCTCAAAAATGGCACAGAAAAACCATGGGACTCTTCAAAAATGGTTCAGTTTTGAAAGTGCTTGAATTTAAACTGCACAGTTTGTAATAAAATGAAACAACGTTTGATTAGAAGCCTAGATTTAGAAATAATTTATTCTTGAAAAGATAGTTTTATAAACCAAATATTTTTTTTCTCTCAGACTGAAGTTAAATGAGACAATTTTTTTCCTATTTCAGGTTAATTAGAATCACCAAAATTATTTTTATGACATATAATTTTGTTGGCGAAATTCTATCATAACACATTATTATTAACTGTAATAAATTATATTATATAATAGTGAATTGAAACTTTCCTCTTGAGTTCATTTGTATTGTTTTTATCTGGAAAAGTTTGAAAACTGACCTTGTAAATGTTTTAAAACACATGAATTTTACTGTAAAAAGTGTAAAAACGTTGAGTGAAGATAATAAACATGGAAATAAAAGCACAGATTTAATCAAATTGACCTCTTGTGATGTCATAAGAGGCTTAAGGAATCTTGTTTTTGGGAATGTAAATTTAAATTTTATTTTTACTGGTATTGTTTTACAACTGTAATATGACAATGGAAAACCTGACCTTGATATATTTACTGATAGCTGTAAATATATAAATACGTTCATCTGTCTGGAACGGTTTGAACAGCAATGCCAACTTTAATTTTCCTGGTGACTTATTTTAAACTCCTACCTCAGGGATCAGCAAACTTCACAGCTTAAAGAGCCGTTTCTGCAAAACAAAACTCATTTAAAACTCAACTGTCACATGACTTATTGCAAAAATAGACATGTTGTAATGTTAGATAAATATCTGTGCTTGCAAATTTTTGTGGAACCACAATTTTATTTGTATTTTTTGGATTCAAATAAACATAAATATGAGATAAATAGTCTTCTTTTCAGAGATAAATAGTCTTCTTTTCAGAGGGATTAAACAATAAATTTAAAAAATTAACAATCATATTTGTGAAAATTTATAACAAATATTGCAGGAAAAAATCTACTGAAACCTACATTTGTTATTCTATTTATATTTAAAAACATGTTAGTTTTGTATACTTTTAACAGGTTTAAGAACCGCTGTAGAAGCCACAGACATTTTCCATAAGTAAATACTGCAATATTGACATTTTGCAGTTTTAGTTTGAAAAACAGCGAGAATAATCTGTTAACCTAAATAAAAGTATCTGGGACAGATGCAAAGATAAATCTATTTATCACAGAATATAAACATTGTCTCCTAGCCACTTAGCATTTGGAGCCAACCACATACAGAAACTTCTACTGCTGCCCCCTAGCGGCTCCCAGGAGTCACTTCATCCTGTTGAACCGATACTGAATTCAGGTTTGTGCTGTACGCTGTCATTGCTGTGGTACTAACAGTCACTCTGACGAACTGTGTTCTCTCTCTTCATAAAAGCTGAGTCAGAGTGTGTGTGTGTGTGTGTGTGTGTGTGTGTGTGTGTGTGTGTGTGTGTGTGTGTGTGTGTGGGGTTGTGTGTGTGTGCGTGTGTGTGTGTGTGTGTGTGTGTGTGTGTGTGTGTGTGTGTGTGTGTGTGTGTGTGTGTGTGTGTGTGTGTGTGTGTGTGGGGTTGTGTGTGTGTGCGTGTGTGTGTGTGTGTGTGTGTGTGAGAGACTGGTAACACATTGCTAACTCACTTCTTCTTGATCTCCTTGTGTTTACACAAACACTGTGTGGTCATAAAGGCAGTAATTCCCAGCAGCAGCCGCCTTCCTTTAGTGCTGACGCCCCGTAACAGCTGATGTCAAACAGATTCTTAGAAAAACATCAGCGTTGTTTTAGGGTGACGTGATGGCAGACATTTAGGAATCTCTGCGGAATTAATTTCCCAGCTGGTTTTCACACCAAGCAACATTGTTTTTGTGGATTTTTAGAACATTGTGTTCACTAAAAGTCATCACACACACACACACACACACACACACACACACTGGGATGTTATTGTATGATTTCGATGGTTGCCTTGGTTGCAGCCAGAGGCTTAGATTTGTCATGCCTCTCAGTGATTGTGAAATCTTTTCCATATTGAAGTTAATCCGGTCTTTTAGTTGGATGAAACATTAAGTATCAGATTGCATTTTTTTCTTTGTTGTCTGGTTGACCATGTGAGTCTGAATCTCTTCTTCCCATAAAGTTGACCATCTTGTTTCTCTTTGTCATAAAGCTCCAGGTTTAAAAAGTATTTATTCTCTTTCAGACTCTCATGTTTTTCACCTTTCAACCTGGAAATTTGGTGCGTTTTATTGGGATTTTGCGGTTAACTAAAACACTCATGCATACTTCTGAATTTGAAGGACAATAATAGTTATCAAAATGTTATAATTGACCTCTTTAATGCTGTTTTTGTCTGCTTTGTGCTGGCAGGTTTGTGACATTCTTTAAAGTTTCTGATTAACTCCAAAGTTCAGGATTTTCCCTGCTATCCTTCCTTGCTCCCTTCCTTTTTTGTGCCCTTCTTTCCTTATCTGCCTCCTCTCTTGTGACTGTCATTTTCTTTCATTTCATTTGTTCCTCACTTCCTTCATTCGTCCTCTCATTCCTTATTTCATTTGTCCCTATTTCCTTCCTTGTCTCCTCTCCTTTGTGTCCCACCTTTCCTCCTTCCTTCTTTGTCTCCTATATTTCTTCTTTATGTCCTTCCTCCCTTTTCTCTCTCCCTAACTCTCTCCATTATTCTTTGTGTTGTACAGCTGAGTAGCTGAAGGCAAAGGGGTCCAAAGTGTGGACGGGGGGCCACTTGTGGCCCTTGTACTGATTTTCTTTGGCCCCCAATTGGAATTAAAAAATGTCACAAATTAGATGCAGATGGAGACTTTCAATTTGGAATCAGGGTGAAAATTGTTACCAACATTTTCTTACACAGGAAAATGTAAAGTACAAAACAGAGTATTTATGTTTTATGTATACCCGAGGAAAAACCAAGAGACTTTTACGAAAAAGCCGACTTCTGCTCTTTCTTAAATTTGGCTAAATATAGAAAATGTTTTGAAAGAAAGTCACCCAAATCCTGTTCTTGTTACTGAAAAAAATGTTATAAAACAAGAGCCCAAAACAACTAGATATCTTTCTTTTAATATAGCAAATGTGCAAAACCTGCTACCTATGGTATATAGGGCTATTGTAGAAAAAAATAGTAAATTTCTGCCAAATAATTTCTGAATTTCAAATGTCAAATAATTTATTTTGAAAGTGTAAAAGTTTTCTTGAAAATTTCTGAGATTAATCACAAAATTTCTGAGATTTTGACAGAAATTTACTCCCTTTTTTGATCTACAAAAACTTTTCACTTTCATAAAAATCCCTTTTAAGCGTTTAATCTACCATATTTACCGGATGACTTTATTTGCTTGATTTTAGGTTATTTTTTGGCCCACGTCTACTTTTGAGTCTAAACATTTTGGACACCTCTGGTTTAAGGGGGAAAGAAAAAACAATCATGAGTCTGTTTCTTTTTAACACGTTGAGTTCAGGGCGGCTGTTTCTTCCCAAACAGACGAAACGTGTTCGGTCCAGATAAGAAAGGCGTCGCCCTCGTTTGTTTCTGGTCCACATTCCTCCCGACAGACAGACCTGCTGCCTGCATCTGTTTTGACACATTTGTCTCGGAAACTGAAAGAGCTTGTCATCTTGATGAGCAATTTGGCTTCACTGATGAGCATCAGGTGGACAGACAGTTGATGTTGATCAGCGCTGGCGTCTTGGAACCGAAAGGAGGCGATAAAATTGAAATGGAAAGAGAATGTGTTCCTCTGCAGATCAAGATTTAAAATCAGATTTGAAAAAACAAGAATGTTAGATTTTTGTTCGATTTTGATTATTCTGACGATTAATCGATCAAAGATGAAAAATTGGTCAGTTACTAATTTTCCAAGCACGTTTTGTTTTTCTCGTCTTCTCTAGATACTTTGACTCAGTCGACATCTGTAAGATCCACTCAGACTGGCAGGAAGTGCGTCTCCAGGGTTGCTTCCCCAGCAAAGCCAGTGGCCCGGTCACCGTCACCGCCCTCACCGTGTTGGAGCGCACCGCTCTGGAGTTCGCTCTCTTCCAGGAGGGAAGCAGGTAACCTCACCGCCATCATCATCCCTTCCACCTCACCTGATCTCAGACTGACTCCGCCCCCTGCCGCCTCGCCTCCAGGCGCTCGGACACGGCCGACAGCCACCTGCTGGACCTCTGCATCATGGTGTTCCGCGCTTCGTTCGGCAGCGGCAACAAGCTGACCCTGGGCCGTCTGTTGGCCCACAGCAAGCGGGCCGTCAAGAAGTTCGTGGGCTGCGACGTGATGCTGGAGCCGGGGGAGTACGCGGTCGTCTGCTGCGCCTTCAACCACTGGCAGATGAACGTGAGCGGGACGGGAGCTCCGCCCACGCCCAGTAAGACTTCCTGTCACAATATCAAATTCTGCTGGACGGTGAATCATCCTGAAAGCTATCGCAATAAACGACAACAACATATTCTTTCAAAGAAACTTTAAATTCTGATGAACATTTAACACAGGAACTGGAAGACATTTTAAATATCCAAAATAAATAAACAAAGCAGAAACATGAATCATGAACACTGCAAAAACACAAAATGTTCATTTTTATTCAGTTTCAAGTGTAGATATCTTATTACCCTGAAGAAATCGCAGCATTGCAACCCTTCTGTCCTTCCTTTTTTCTCATCCCTTCCTTCTGACCTCATATTGAACTTTAACCTTTCATAATAAACCTAGGGGACAGCTTTCTCTCTTTGGCTCGGTTTCTGTTGTGTGTCTGTCCCGATGAAGCCGTAACCGCGGCGCGTTGCTCTGTCCGTGTCCTCAGTCTCCAGTCCCACCAGTGCGGCGGCCCGCCGGCCCAGCCATGACTTTCCCGGCTACATCCTGGCCATCTACAGCTCTCGCCAGGTGATGGTGGAGCAGGTGGAGGCCACACCCACCACACTGGCCGACGCCATCATCCTGCTCACGGAGAACAAAGGAGAACGACACGAGGTGAGACTCACCTCACCGACCCAAATAAAGATTTCTGTCTTTATCTGGATGGATAAGCTGTGACCTTCACTGTCCTCCATTTTGGTTTCAATTTGACCTTCACTGAACATACGTTAGCAGTTCGTCTCCTCTGGTTTGTTGATTCAGTAAATTCAAACAATGGGTTTTTAAAAAGTGTTGGATCTTTAATTTAAATTATTGTATGTAGATGTAAAAACATAAACATTGTGTTAGCAAGGTGCTATCAGTTTCTGCTCCAACATGTTTTGCTAGCTTGACTGAATGACTGTTTCTCTCTCAAGAGTGTCGCTAAACTTGTTGGATCAGTTTAAACATGAAGACAAGTTCTCCTGATTCATGTTATTTTGGAATTTTAATCCATAGAAGACTGGATAAATTTGTGAAAAGAAGAGAAAGAAAAAAATCCCCACTTTGTTTTCTTTCCTTTCTTCCATCCCTCCTTCCTATTTATCATGTTATTTTTGTTATTTTGCACTCTAACACTGAAACAACTTCTTTCTCTTGTGAACAAATATGTTTCGAGTGGCATGTTTTTTTGAGATGCTTTAAGCTTCTGAACACTTCTGAAATGTTTTTCTTTAAAAAAGCAATCCTGGATTCAGTACCTAGCAGCACTCTGTAGCGACCACCTGAGCAGAAGCGTTTTAACATCGTATAAAGATACGAGTTCTTAGCCTGCCATAAATAATTCAGGATGCTTTTTGTGAAGAACAAAGTTCTTCTGTTACAGAGACAATTTCTTGAAAGAGAAATGCTTTTAATGAGTAATATGATTAGCTATGGCAGCTGCACAGTTGAACACTATTTAAGATGTATAATTCACTTAAAAAGTAGATTTTTAAGTCCATCTGCAATGTAAAGGTCTTTTTTTAAAACACATTAATATGAAGAATTTCACTGATGTTTGATTAAAAGTCTTTGAAACACAAAGTTTTGAAGCCCATCTTGCATCAGTGACAAACACTTTCTTCAGCCTCCACCTAACCTAGCATGCGATGCATCCTCAGGGTCGTGAGGGTATGACCTGCTACTACCTGACCCATGGATGGGCGGGGCTTATCGTGGTGGTGGAGAACCGCCACCCCAAGTACTACCTCCACGTTTCCTGTGACTGCACCGACAGCTTCAATGTGGTTTCCACGCGCGGCAGCCTCAAGACCATCGACAGCGTTCCACCTTTACACAGGTACACACACGCATACACGTTTTTTTTAAATATGAGGACAAAAGGCAAAAATAGGACAAATGGGTACATGCCTCTCCAAAGGGTCCAAGGCATGAGAATCAAATGGTTTTCATGCCATGCTTCCAGGAAAACATTAATCTGTTATACACACAAGATTTTTTTTCAATATTTGGTTTTTATTCCTACTGTTAGCTGTTGGTCTCTCTACCCATTTTATATTTGTCTCATTTTTACTAAACTAATTTTATTTTCTACTTTATTATTTATCCACCTGTGATGTTGTGTTTGTTGTGAGACACTTTGGTCAGTTGAGGTTGTTGTAATTGTGCTATAAATAAACTCTTGACTTGATTTATTTACCCTCTGGGAAAAACAGGCTTTTTGAATCTCAACTGACTTACGATTCACTGGCAGTTTAACAGGAATATGTACGGCGTTTATACCCATTATGTAAGGAGCAAGTAGAACAAATGTTGCAGCAGTGCTTGTATAAACATGCTGGCCCCGTGGGGTTACGGCTCTGCTCTTCATAATCTTCCTCTGGCTGGATTCAGCTGTTAATGCGTTCAGGTTTCACATTATTAGGACTCCAGCATTTAACATGCCATCCAGCTGTACAGACATGCGCCAGTCCACATCAATGCAGATTAAACACTGGATATAATTAAAAACTGTTACTGAAATCTGTGGATTTTTTTTTTTTTTTTTTTTTGCTGTGTATGTGTGCTAGGGAGACCTTTCCAAACAGACAATATAGTTACTTTAGTTTATGTTTTCTCTGCAGTAGAATGTAGACTAAATCCATACCATTCAAGGAGTTTTTGATCAAACATAATTATAGTAAGTTTTGTTTGAATGTACAAAAAGGGATTTTTTAAAATCTTAAATACAATATAGAGAAATATATATTTGTACAGTCTTGCCTCAATTACTGCTCTGAGTGTGATGTTCTTTTAGAACATTTACTTTTTTTGAGTTTGTGTGATTCAGTTAACAATTAATCATATACTAAATTAGCTTAACAATTATTTCAACAAACAACTAATTGTTTCCATTCTTAAAGTTTTTATTTGCAGAGTCATTTCTGATTAATTAGCCATTCCTGCTGAGGGATTGATTATTTTAAAAACCAATTAATCACGATTAATTGTTTCATCTCTAGCAATTATTGATATAGATAAATATGAAAACTCCGACCCTCATCTTATCACAAAAAGTTAATCAGAACATCATTATAATTTATATAACTCTATGAACCTGTATGAAGCTCAGATTGAAAGCGCTGCTCTCTATCTCCCCCTGCAGGCAGGTGCTGGTGGTACTCTCCCAGTTGGAGGGAAATGCAGGTTTCTCCATTACCCATCGCCTCGCCCACCGGAAGGCGGCGCAGGCTTCCCTGGGCGACTGGACTCCCACCAAGGCCACCCACAGCCCCCACCTCACCCCTGACATTGATGGGCTGCACAGGCCCAGGCCTCTATGACCCCTGCCCTCTTCACCCCCCACCCATAGACTGTAACCCAACAACCTGTCGGACCACTGAAAAAATCAAGCAATGGTAGAAAAGAGCTGTGGGGAGCCATGAGTTGCAGAGGAAGGCGAGTTTTCTGGTTTTGGAAGTGCATATGAATGTGAAGTCTACAGAGCGTTTACTGGATCTCCAGATTTTTTATTTTTCTTTAGCCATGTGGAAGTGCCATTTCAGGATGAGAAGAGGGGAAATGGGCCTCGACAGAATCCAGACCGAGACACTATGGGAAGCTAGCTTCAAGCTAAACTACTGAGCCATGGCCCCGCCCACACTCAGTCACTCACTTCCTCCACATGTCGTCCTCAACAGGATGCTCACCAGTCCTCAGTGTGGTACATTATGAGCCAAACCAGCTGGGTTTACAGCGTAATTAATGTTTCTTTTATATTTAGTCTTACTTGTTTTGTAGCCTGACCTTCACCACTTTTTCCATTAAGCTTGCAGATGAAGCCATTACTCACCCAGTGCAGTCTGTCCCCACTCAGAGTAGCTCAGGACCAAACTTTTTTTCTGTCATCATGTAAATGTTTTGTAGCAGGCTGTCAGAAAGCTGGATTTAGTGTCCATCTTTTTTCTCTGCTGTGATTCTGGGACCTTCCGTCTTTTAAAAATGCTGAATCAGGAAGATGAAATCTCTGCTTGGATTAGACAACACACTGTAAGACCTGTCCTTTCTGATAGATTATCTTCTTGAAAGGAATAGTTCAGTGATTTTAAAGTGGGATTTTTGATATCTCTTGGTGTTTCCCTGGATCTGCATGGTAAATCTGATGGCTAAAATCCAAAATGGACGTCAGCCATTATAAAGCTCTGCAGGTTTTCAAAAACGCCTCATAAAAGTTGTTTTTTACACCTTTAAATCCTCATTGCTGCACAGAAACTGCACAGGAAATTGATGTTGGAGGTGTTGCGTCACCAACAGTCTTCCTGTGTGAAACTCATTCTGAGAACCAAAAGTGAAGCAAATGAATCAAATAGCTTTAACATCGAGAAAAGCTCAGATCAGAATTCATTGTTGAATCTTTGCACTGCAAAAACACAAAATCTCACTAACTATTTTTGTCTAGTTTCTAGTGCAATTATCTTAGTACACTTGTAATTGATTCTAAATGCTTAAATTTGGCTAAAATTATAGTTTAAATTTTTTAGTGAAGAAAAAGCCAAGCAGCTAAGCTAAAAGCTGGTAATTACCAATGAAATTTGATACAATATGGAACCTTTTGAAATAGTTTTACATAGATGTGTTTACACTGTCTTTTCCTCATCAGTCACAAAACTTAAACAGAACCTCTCGAATAGAAAAATTGGTTTCTGAATTAAAAATTGTTTCTGAATCAAATTGTGACCCTAAAATTGGAATCACATGAAATTGCTAGCACTGAAAGATTTGCATCTTATTCCCAGCCTGTTTCTCTCAGGAAGATTGTTGGTGACGCACTGCCTCCAGCTTCTATTTCCTGTGTAAATCATTGCAGATGTGAAAGCAACTAAAGGTTCATAAAATATGAACCATCTTAGCATCATAAAATGCTATGATGTTCTGGATTTGGGTGTGTGACATAGTAGAAGTCTCCTTTGGCCTTTGTTAGCCTCAGATGTTTATGCTAAATGAAGAAGCCATGAATTATGTCTGCAGGTGGAAAATCCTGGACTATCCCTTTAAGAGAACCATATATATCTTTGCTTACAAACTTCTTGTTTACGAGGTAACGTCTCGTTTTAACATCATGTTGCACTCAAGGTGAAGGTCAGCTTTTATCCATTGTTTGTCAACATGTCACTTTAAGTTTTAGTGTAGCTTTAGAGCACTAAGGAGCTCCACCTGCTACTAGGGGGCGCTCTAACAGAACTGGTGGGTTTATTTCAGGAGGTCAGGGATTCTCAGGCATCTTCTCCGACAGGACGTCAGCAACACGATGTTTGGAAACGCCAAAAAACAAACAAACAAACAAACCCAGAGCTGTTTTCATTTTTGCTGTATTCTCACATCTGCAGTCAAAGCCATCACTCCAGATGAATGTGGCACGAAAGTCAAAGAGAAGAACGCCTGTCTTTTTTAATTAAGTTTTTGTCTAACATTTACTTTGTGTAATGGAGGAAACACTTGAAAGCTGATGAGCAAATTTTCTGATGCGTTCAGAATTAGTGATTAGTTTGTACTATTCAAACTTTAAATCCTCAACATATTTACTGAGATGAGGAAGAATTTGTGGTTTCGGGTTTTTTTCTCCTGTCTTTCATCTTTCTGTCTGTCGGGTTTGGGACGACTGTGTGGCCACAGTTGTGCAGCTGTGAGCTTACAGTCTAATTTATTCACACAAGTGATGAGCAGGCATGTTTTCCAATGAATGCTGTTGAATAGCTGAGATCATGAATGATGGAGAGCTGGGATGAAACTTTGTTTAGATTGAAAAATAAATGAACAAAAACTGCAAAGACGAGGCACATCAAACTTTTAATGTCATCAGATTCACTCTTCTTTTATGTCCTCTTCTATTTCCGTCATCTTTTGTTGAGTTGTGTTGGAGGCGCCCCCTGCTGGTGAAAAGAAGTGGTTGGTCCAGCAAACTTATGCCTTTTCTCTCCTCATTTTTTCCTCCTTGTAAATTGTACAGACTGCAAAATTACAAAACTTGACATATTTGAAAATAATAAGAGAAAAAAAAATGAGCTGATCCTTTTAAACTTGTAAAAACTTTGCAGTATGATAGTAGAGCTGAACAGAAAAATAACCTGATATGAAAAAAAAAACAAATGCTGACGAATGTGATATATATATATTTTAGTGATTTTTTTTCGGGGGGAGTGGGTTGGATTATGAACAGCTGTATAAATCTGTATGTTTAATTTTCAATCTCAGGTTCCGATGGACCAAATAAAAAAATTTTTGTAATTAAAAGCGAGTGCTGGCGGTTGTATTACATATATATATATATATATATATATATATATATATATATATATATATAACATTTCATTATTGATTCAGTTTCTTACTGTGCTTTTATAGACTATATTGGTTTGATTATAAGTGGTCATTTAAAGAACAAATCATACATTATGCTAACAGTAAACGCATGTATTTCCTACTCTAAAAGATATGTTAGTGCTTTCCATATGTTTTGAAATGTTTATATATTTTATGAATTCACTGTTCAGTGATCATTTATGCACCAGACGTAGACCTGCGGCCCAGGGGCGGTTCTAGACGGGGGCCGATGGGGGTATCTAAGACACAACTGGCTCTTTGGCTCACTTATTCAAATGATGAAATATTGTTCTGTTTTTCTGTTTCATTCTTTTTCAAGTGTGGCCATGGAGAAACACTGACTCCCTGTGGTGAATTTGACCTAGAACCGGCCTCCAAACCTAACTCCTTATTTCTATACATATTTTGGTAACACGCTTTACAATACCAGAACGTTCACATAACTTTTATACTTTCGGCTGTCTGAGGACACTTTGAATATTAAATCAGATGTTATGATCAGCTACTCAGTACCTGAGTAGTTTATCAAGTACTTTTTACACTTGCTGCTACCCTGATTGGAGAACGATTTTGGAATACTCTAACTAACCTCAATGCTATATGGATCACTCAGACAAAAATTACTGCCATAAAATAATGTCTATCACTGCAGCAGCCTTGGATATCCGATCTTTTCAAATGTGACATGAATCCTAACATCTGGTCCTGAATGTCGTTGATACTCGACAAACGTCACTATTTTGTGTCCTGATATATGCAGACGGGAATAAAAACAACCATGAGGGACAATAATGATTTGGGCTCCGATTGGACAACAACTTCAAAAAACCACAAGTTCTGCTCTACTGTTAGCATCCATATTTACTTCTGCAAACTGAGCTCTGCTTGTTTTTGGGAAAACGTTGAGCACGCTCTCTATGTGTGACGTTATTGCGCCCTCTACTGCGCATGCGGGACATTTTCAGGTCGTTTGGGGTTCACACTGGAGATCACATGCAATCGCATTTATTTGGAAGTGTGAAGCACCACGGCATAAGGAAATGCGATTTGACAAAAAATTGGAATTGGGTCACGTCCGGCTGCAGTGTGAACGTAGCCGACGTCATCTGTTTTCTCTTTGGACTTCCAGGAATGCTTTTCCAGATAGTTCTGAGCACTTCTTTTATCTTTGCTTCTCTCTCTCTCTTCTTTGCCTCCCACCTTCATCCAAAGCAACCCCTCCTCCTCTTCTTCCTCTCTTCAACATAGCAGACGCCCCCTTGACCTCAGATGACAGCAGAGCAGTGGCCCACCCTGCTCTGGGTAAAGTCTTCCAGACCCCTGCAGACACTCACCAGCAGGACTTTCCTTTCTTCTGCATTCTGCACCAGCGTCAGAGAGAAGCCGGACTCACCTAGAAGGATCTCGGCTCGTCATGAGCAGAAGGTTTGACGCTGCACTCTGTCTCTGTCTGCTTTCTGTCGCCCATCCTTCATGTTGAACTGACAGCTCAGGGTGAGAATGTGATAAAGCACCAAGCAGCTTGTCAAAGGAAGGGATCTGTGTCCTGAGAGGAAAAACTTCTTTTCAAATATTCACTGGTTTAAATTTTGTACCTATGACTAATGGGACTTGCACTGCAAAAACACAAAATCTTATCAAGTATTTTTGCTCTTAATATTGATGAAAAAGTACTAGTTTTACATGAAATAATAAAAATGTCTTCCACTGGCAGAACCTTATATCACCATAACTGACATAGAACAAGTTTCTATATATTGCTGAAAAGTTGCTGTTAAGGTCATTTTATTTCAAGTGCACTAAGATATTTGCAAACATAGTTAAAAAAATGCAATTCTTTAAAGTTGGTCTTGAGGTATTCAAGATAAAAAATATATATATAGTTTTTAACACCACAAAAACAAAAAATCTTTCATATCTTAGTGTCTTGTTTCAAACTAATTTGATGAAAAAGTTCCAGTTTTAAGTGAAATAATCTGGCAGTGAAACTGGACTAAATGACGCCCACTGGTAGATTATTACATTTGAAATTTGCCTTTTTTAATCAATATTAAGGAATTATTTACTTAAATCAAGCTCTCATATTTTGCTGAAAAGCCACCTGCAAGTTATTTTTGTCTTATTTCAAATGTGCTAGCATGCTTCCATGAAAATACTTGATAAAAGTTGCATTTTTGCAGTGAGGATAGTTTTAATCGTGGTTCTTATTGGTCTTTTTTTAATGATTTCACCAAATCTTAATGTTTCTCTGGATTTCTTGGACCTCTGCCACGGAGACACACACAGTGACTGCATGTCAAAAAATATAACTGGAAGCCATTCATTTAAACGACGATGATATTCTATCCCCAGCATCATGCAACCTGAGAGGAGATGGCAGTAGGTGGGGCTGCTTTTAAAAAATATGAGCACAAGGTTTCAGACATGCAGAGATGAAATGTGTTGGAAATCTCTGCAGGCTGAGTTTATTAATAGATGTTTTACTGCTTGGCTGAAATCTTATACTGGGTCATTTAAGAAACAATCAGAAAACAGGCATTTTAAGTTTCAGGTCAAATGTGCAGAATGCCTCACGTTGGGAGTAGATGGAGTCAAGAGCATAAACGTTACTACATTTTCTCTTTTTAGGGGAAAAACGAGGAAATGTGAGCTTTCAGAACATGCAGCTCATTACAGAATCATACGTGAGATATCTGGAGATGTGGAAGCTTTTCCCCTGAATCTGAATGAAAACATTCAAAGCTTTAAATGCTTTAAAAAGCCATTTTGACCTCTCATAATTCATAACTCATTACTGCCTCCATAATTAGATCAGAGGCCGACGACTGGAGGGCCGACTTCAACTCCCTCCCAAATTTATGACCTTTCAGGCGACCTCGGGATGGAGAACATGTGAAGGTCATGCAGTGAAGATGTCGTCTAAACCAGAAATGTTTAAGATTCCTTGGAATCGGTGCACAGAACTATAGTGTTTTATATACACTGTAAAACATTAGAAAATTAAAATCCACCTTGAAATTGCAGCAAGAAAATGAAATGAAATGAAAGTTCATGAAGTTGATTTATCAACAATAGAAAAGTTGTCAAAACATTGTTTTTAAGTTCATTAATCTTAAATTGTGAGTTTTAACTTAATGCTGCCATTTTAACCAAATTAAATCACAATATGTAATAATATCTCTTCTGATTTCTCTATTATTTCAACCACAACATCAAGTTAAAATAACTTATTTTACTATAGAATAATTACATTTTTTGTTTCAAATTGCAGGAACCAAATTTCTGATCTGATGATGAATTTTATTAAACATCTCAATGAATTCAGCTCAGAAACATTTAGTGTGATCAGGACATCATCCTGTCAGCTGCACTAAAATAAACATTTGCCTTAATAACACAAGAGTCAGATCAATGTAAAGCACTGTCAGTAATCCTAAAAATAAAACTTGAATCAATGTTTTGATCATTTTCATCCCCAGTGGACCCAGCATGGCATCCCAGAGCCCAGCGCTCCCACCGTCCTTCTCTCCTGGGACAGACAGCGTCTTCTCTGACCAGTCAGGCTTCTATTCACTCGACTCCAACGTTCCTGGACTCTCTAAAGTGATTCTCAAGCAGCTCAGCATGAAGGACTACGGAGAATACAGGTACATCACGCTGCAAAACACAAAATCTCACCAAGTATTTTTGGTCCAGTTTCTCCTGCTAATATCTTAGCACACTTAAAATATTTCACTTTCCAGTGATATTTTTTGACATGCAGTCACTGCGTGTGTGTCCGTGGCAGAGGTCGTCCATCCAAGAAATCCAGAGAAACATTAAGATTTGGTGAAATCATCAAGAATTACCAAAAAGAACAATATTTAAAACTATAGTCGCTGCAAAAACACAACATTTTACTAAATGTTTCACTGTAAATATGTTAGTACACTTGAGATCAGACAAAACGAACTCACAAGTAGCTTTCCAGCAAGAGATAGGAGCTTGTTTTAAGTAAATAATTCTTTCATATTGGTGAAAAAGTTGCAGCTCCACTGGCGCTGTGTTTTGCTGAAGAGTTTCTAGTAAGTTAGTTTTATCTGGTTTCAAGTGTACTAAGATATTTGCACTGATAGCTAGTCAAAAACTTGGTATAATTGAGTTTTGTTTTATTTATTTTTTTGCAGTGTAGGAGATGATAATTGTCTGATTTTCTTCAGAGCTGCTGTGCAGGGAAAGACTAAAGGACTCCGGTTCCGCAACTACAAGGAGATGTTCCAGAAGATGGAGGAAACCTTCAAGTTCTGCGCCAGCTGCAACAAACTCCCGGAGCGTCTCGCCGAGGGACAGACCCTGAAGCGCTGTGGGAAGTGAGTGCAAAGCCCTGAATGTCATCGCAGGGAAGGATGTTGTTGTGTTGCAGCCCAATAGCTGTCATGTGTGAAGTATGACCAGCTGCCGTTGCATCAGCCACACAATGATAAGCCAGCGAACACTGCAGAGGTGGACAGTGGCCAGGTGCAAATATAGCAAAGTTCCCGGACTGATTCATCTCTCTGCCATTCTGCACTCAGAGGAGCTGAATGCATTTTAAATATCAAATCATTTGGGTGAAGGTAGAAAGAACAGCAAGTAGACATAATGGACGACTGTCTGTCAGTGCCTCAGGGCGATTGTTTCTTATTTCTGTCTGATATATAGTCGAGTTCCGGCTACTTAATGTCAGCTGAAGCCATTTAGAGAAGCATCTATGGGAGGAACTATGAAAGCTGCTCTGTGGAGCCGTCAGTGAGACCTGTGACCCACAAGCCAGCAGTTCATGTCTCTGATTCTTTTTTTCTATATTTAGAACCAAGAAAGTGACTAAACAGGCTTTCAGTCAGCAACAGCGTTTCTTTTCCGTTCCCTTCATCATCCTTCAGCAACAAAGAGAGGCGGGCAGAGAAACCAGAAAGTCACTGCAACATATTCTTACTCAAGTAACAGTGAAAAGGAGCCGTCCAAGAAATTACTTTAGCGTATAAAAACGTATTCTGTAATACGTTGACTCTAGTTCTGAACGTCTGGTCAAATTATCATTCATTTAATATTTAAAAATTACACCATCAGACAAACCAAATTATAAAGTTAAGTGGAAATTTTGGTATTTTAAGGATGAAAATGACAGAAAATAAAAAACAACAACAACAAAACAAATCCAAATTGGTTTCTTTGAATAAAAAAACTTATGAGACATTAACAAAACTGCAGGTCTGTGTCTGGTGAATTTCTGTTTAAAACATGTTTGTTTTTCATTCAGTGGGGAGAAAATCCAGAAATGATATTCAAGTAAGAGAAAAGATACTTCAAAATAAAGTTACTCAAGTTGATGTAAATAGTACAGTGTAGCAAAAATACTTCTAGAAGTTATTCTTTCAAAACACTTACTCAAGTAAATGTGAGTAAATGTAACTAGTCACTATCCACAAAGACGAATATGAGAAAGAAGATGTTCTTCCTTAAACTGGTCGATAAAATCATTCTTTGATAAACAGATTTCAGTCTCAATTCTGCCTGTTTTAGAGCCAAATATGCTTCTGCTGGCCACCCAACGTTTACACACGTCAAAATGGCTGCCGTCAGATGTGCAATTATACAACTTTAAAAATCTCTAGGAGAAGTTAGGAGTGTTTCCTAGTTTTTGTTGTTTCATTGCATCCTTCCTCTCAGGTGTTTGAATGTGTACTACTGCACAAAGGACTGTCAGAAAAAGGACTGGCCTCATCACAAGAAGGTCTGCAAAATCCTGCGATTGGTGGCCATTGACCGCTTGGTGGAGTGGCTGATGTTCACTGGTAACAACTTTATTGAAAACAGTAACATTTTAAATCATTTGTAAATATTTTTGTGCAGTGGATCCTCCCGAATAGCTGAGATCTGCAAAACTTTTGTTTTTGAACACGGCATGCCACACACACCCAGATCAAGGTCTTTATTCTGCTACTTCACACCAAGTCACTAAACCTCCCAACTCAGACCACAAAACCTTTCATAAACCATCCTGTCTTTTCTTTCCAGGAGATCTTCCATTCCCAACTGAGAAATGGTCCAAAGGACCTGCAGATGTGAAGGGTTGGGACGACTGGCTTCCCATGCAGGAGGGGCTCACCCAAAGTCTGGACAGAATCCTATCCAGCGCCAACATGGCAACTCTGTGGCAGAACGCCGGCAGGGCCCGACCGGACGATGGCGACCTGAGACAGTCCTTGTGGAGGATTCAGAGCGAATTCCTATCTCGGGTTCTGACCGTTGGAAGGGCGATTCAACAGTTTGGGCTGGACCCGTATCTGAAGCCTCTCACCGTTCACATCGTAGGGGCCTCTCACAGTGAGACTATGGGAGCCAGGCTGACTGACTATGACGAGCTGAGCCACATGTTTCCTGGACACCAGGGCATTGAGATAGTGATGGTCGGCCCTGAGGTGGTGGACGGCCGCATCGTGAGACCTCCGCTCAGAGCATTTGGCCCCAAGCACAAGGTGTACATCAGTGCCTACAAGGGCCTCTACCATCAGTTCTGGGAGGATGTGGTGGAGAAAGGGGAAGTTGCCAGGCCAGACGTTGTAGTCGGATTCCACCCAGGTATGCACTTAAATTTACCTACGTAACACAAAAAGGGTGTTTGTTGGAGTTGTTATTAATGTCTTAACAATCTGAGATAAGGTTTGGGAGGCCTGGCTAGTAACCGAGAGCCTGGTGACACACTCTTATTCTGGGGAATCCCAAAAGTGTTCCCAAGCCATAATGGATAAACAGTTCTTTCAGAAAGTTCTGAGTCTGCCTTGCTGTTTTCTCCCAGTAAGATGTACCCAGACAATCCCCAAGGGAGACACAGGAGCCATCTCAGCTGAGTCTTTTCTGTATAATTAGGAGCACCTCTACTCTCATACCAGTCCTGTTTAGCCCTATTTAATCAAACTCTGGTTTGGTTGCCTAGAAAGTCTGGTTCATTTGCAGAGGAGTGAATGCACAATTACACTCTAAAAACCTTTGCGCTACCTTAAAACATCGGTCTCTGTTTGGTTGAAGTGAACTCTGCTGTGGTTACAGTGAATATGTGAACTGGAAACTGCTCCAAAAGTAGGAACTATACTAGTGCAGGGCATTCTGGGTAACTACAACTAAAGCAAACACCAGAATAGCCATTTCTGTATCTGCAAAGCCAGAAAGAGAAATGGCTCCTGGTCTTCAGCCAAGAACAAACAAGAAATCCTTCAGCCACTAAAATCTGACGCCTTTCCATTTTTATTTGCGTTTTGTGAAGAAGGACCTTGTGCTCAGTGTCTTCTTCAGAGGTTTTTGGGTTGTTTCCTTCAGTAGTTCTTGGTGCAGCGCCACCACAGGTGAAGGGGGGAACTGTTTTTTAAAGTGGAACATGAAAGTGAAACTTAGCAGCTGAAAATTTAACAAATGTTGCAACTTTAATCGAGTGAAAACACCTTCAGAGTAAAATTTCTACCACTTGTATCCATCTGCCAGGATGAATATCAGAGCTGAGTCCGTAAAGTAAGAGATTTGTGTTTTGATTCAGGTCATCTCCATAACAAGAAACCGGAGTAGTGCTGGTTACACCATAGATGATCTTGCCAGCAAGATGCAACTGTGAGGTTTCATACCAGGACTTTCTGTCCATAACTATGTGTTGAGAACCTTTCCAAGAACTCGACAGAGTCTGAGAAAGACGTCAGACCCAACAGTTTTAAATCAGTCTGTAAAGTTAGATGGAAGACTAGAATTCTGGTTAGAAACAGTCGGCCATCTTGATTTCCCTTTGGTCCTACATGCATAATTCTTTACTTGAAGTAAACAGAAGCATTGAAAAACGTTTAGCGAACTGGATGTGACCTATTCGTTGGCGCCGGGCTCTTAGAGGGGATTCAGGTGATTTATGGCAGCAGCTGGGGAAGAGTTCGGCTGGCAGTCCTATAAAATAAATGGCCCTTCAGTTATGGGAGGGTTTTGGGGGCGACTGTGGCTGTGTTGGTAATCGTCTTGTGATCGGAAGGTTGTCGGTTCGATTCCAGCGTCCTCCTGCTACATGTCTAGGCAGGGCTGGACTTAACCCCAAGTTGCCTATATGTGTGAATGTGACTCCAGTGTAAAGTGCTTTGAGGGGTCAAAATGACTGGAAAAGGCTATGAGTTCAATTCATTTACTGTTTTGGCTTATCAGGTTCAAAGGTCATGTTTGACCAGGTCAGGCGGATGGACTGGCAAATTCATCCTCATAATCCTACAAGAATAATCTCCAACAAGAATAAAGTCTAAATATTACAACTGTTTTTAATTGAAATATTATGACTTTATTCTTGCATATTTCAATTTCATTCTCATAAGACTTTGTTTTTGTAATATTATTATTTATTCTCATGATTTTGTAACTTTATTCTCAAATTATTGAATTTATTCTCACAACTTTATTATTATATTATGACTATATTCTACTTTTATTCATTTTCAAAATATTACGACTTTAGTATTTTCATTTTAATCTCATAAGATTCCGACTTTACTGTTGTAATTTTCTGACTTTATTCTCATGATTTTATTACTTTATTCTCATATTATTTTGACTTCATTGTGATAAAAAGTATTTATTAATTTTTTCATGTTGTGGCTCTGAAGGGTTGTGAAGAAAAACTAATCTTTTTGAGGAAAACTGGATACTAGTTGTGTCGTTTTGCCTTCACAGAGCCTCAGTGACACATAAAATGCTCTTTATTCTCCACAAAACAAAAGAAAAATCTGTTATTATTACCAGGCTTGCCATCAACCATATGGCCGAAACTCACAGAGGCGCCAGGCGACGTTCCCAATCACTAAGAGCGTCTCTTTGTCACCTTATCTCCCTGATATCTAAACCTCTAAACACTTAATCGCTGTTTAATTTTTCACAATGACTAGAAGTGTAGCCTCTGGCATCGTAATACCTCGCTGTGCATTATTCACGTCCAAATCCCCTGGCCTGTGATGCCATCTGTGTTTCAGTCCCGGCTCCTCGCCTCCCTCCATACATGCTCCTCTCTCCTTGACAACACAGTAACACAAGACTTTATTTCTCTCTGTTGTGGAATCTGTTGTTCATTTGTTGTTTGTCTCTAAGAAGGACGTTTAAGCTGACGGATTTGCGGCCCTGGAGTTCGGTAATCTGGTTGAAGGGCAAAGTTTTTATCGCTCTGCATCCTGAGGCTTGAAAAACATGCAGCCGGTATAAACCAGATTCTGGAGGACTTGACATCTGTCTGTTATTATCCCACAGGATTATAAACCCGACCCATCGTGAACGTAGCATTTCTGCCACAGCGAACCGTCTTTCGGATGTTTTTATGTCTTTGTGGACTTGGTAAACGTGTCCTGAATATTTAGACCCGTCTCCATACATTTTTCTGGATGAATTGTCCCAGAAGTTATCAGGATAAATGATAATATTGTTGTTTTGAGATCATTTTCTAACAAGAACACAGATCGATAAACTTTAAATGCTGATGAACATTTAGCATTGGAACTGGAAGACTTTTTAAATATTCTGAATTAATTAAAAAAAAAAACATAAACATTGAATAAAATGAATCATGGAGTCTCTGTAAACAAAGCTGTCCTTCAAAATAAGAGCTCGTTGAGACCAAATCACCAAACCGGAGCCATCACCACAATTATTGAGTTTGTTTTAATATATTATGCAATTAATTGATTTACTGATTATTGTGATAGGTCTAGTTCTGAGAAAACCTAAAAAGGAGATCCACAGATTATTTTGGGGAAAGTAATCCCAAAATAATTAGTTACTTTAGCTTCAATTTGTTTTGCATTAAAGCTAAAGTAGCAAATATTTATTTAAAAAAATATTTTTAAATATTTCTTGAAGCTGTCTCCATGTTGTGTCAGTTTGGTATGAGATAGATAATCTGTAAAAAAAAAAAAAAAAAAATCAAACTCCTCTGCCTTCACCAAGTGCCAGCTATAAACAACCAATCAGAGCCAGGAGGCGGGTCTTAGCGCTGCCAATCACTCTCCTTGTGCTGTTGGTCATTCCCCGCAGGCTATTTAGCCACTGATGATGACAGACAAATGGTTTTCATATAATAAGTTGTTTCTCGCTATTAGCACATTTAGCAGCTCCTACATGAGATTGATAGACAGCGCTAAGACCCGCCTCCTGGCTCTTATTGGTTCTTTCTGCTTGGAAGTGCTGCATTTCTTCAGAGGGCAATAAAAGCTGATGGATGTTTGTAACTGTGAATCAATTACATTTACATGATTTTAAAGAATTACTTTCAGAAATGTCTTTTTTGCGTTTACTTTTTAGTTTTATTTTAATAATTTTATTCTAAGTATCCAAGTAGAAATTCACCAGACACAGACACACACCTGCAGTTTCATGACTTTTATATTGAAAGATACTGATTTTGATATTTATACGTAAGAGATGTGACTTATAAATTCATAATTTTTATTATTATTTTTGTTCATTTTCATTTTTACTTCAGGTTTTCATGCCAACCAGGGTTTGGTGCAGGGCTGGCTGCCCTCCCTCTTGCTGCTCAGAGACTACAGCATCCCGTCTTTCTTCACTACCCAGCCAGCACACCTAGGTGGGCCCCATATGGGATATAAGTGGGCAGGCAATATGGGTCCCAAAAGGGTTTGTCCACGGTTTCCATGGTGGCCCCACATGGGTTTGCCCAAGTAGATTTTAATGGGTGCTAACTGGGTTTTCAGTGGGTCCCACATGGTTAACTCACATGAGGCCCATCTGTGGCCCACTAGGGTGCTGTCAAGAATATTTACGTGGGTCCCAATTGGGTCTGAACTGGGCTAGAATATGGGTACCAAGTGGGTTTGTCCACGGTTTCCATGGTGGCCCCACATGGGTTTGCCCAAGTAAATTTTTATGGGTGCTAACTGGGTTTTCAGTGGGGCCCATGTGGTTAACTCACATGAGGCCCATCTGTGGCCCACTAGGGTGCTGTCAGGAATATTTACCTGGGTCCCAATTGGGTCTGAACTGGGCTAGAATATGGGTACCAAGTGGGTTTGTCCACGGTTTCCATGGTGGCCCCACATGGGTTTGCCCAAGTAGATTTTAATGGGTGCTGACTGGGTTTTCAGTGGGTCCCACATGGTTAACTCACATGAGGCCCATCTGTGGCCCACTAGGGTGCTGTCAAGAATATTTACGTGGGTCCCAATTGGGTCTGAACTGGGCTAGAATATGGGTACCAAGTGGGTTTGTCCACGGTTTCCATGGTGGCCCCACATGGGTTTGCCCAGGTTGATTTCAATGGGTGCTGACTGGGTTTTCAGCGGGACCCAGATGCCTTAATCCTGTAGGAACAATTCTCATCTAACCTGGATGTGAATTACATTCATAGATATGCAATCTTGATCAACAATCCAAAGTCTAGCTTAAAACGTGTTCAAATAAAAAAAAAAAAAAAAAAAAAAAAAAAGATGAAAAATTTATTTTGCTCAAGGCTTTTATTTAGTAATTTAAAATATTGTCAGGAGTTATTTTTTACCTCACTACAGCAATTATTAGAACTTCATTAATACTCAGGGAATGGTGCCACAAAAAAAATCTGCAATTATTCACGACATCTTTGAAAATAACAGAAGCTAGTTTACTATAACAAACTTATAAACAGATCTATAAATATATATCTATAGATGCACACAAATAAAGACACCTACATATTTTCCTACAGGTCTATAAATGTATACATCTAAATACTATCTATATAACTTTATACACGTATATTCACATTGATACACACAATGTGAATATACACACCTATATAGATCTTTCACAATACATTTTTGTTAAACATTTTTAAAGATAACCTACATGCCATATGCATGCTTAAATTTGAAATCTCTCATACTTTACTGAAACTGTCCATCTTGAAAGACCTCCCCAACCTGAGTTTGAACTGGCAGTCTCTCTAGTCTATTTCCACTTCCACTCGGGCTCCAGTAAACCACTTCGAGAGTCTTTGCTGTATGCTTGTGTGATTCTGTAGATGGATAATTTCTTTTAAGTCCCCTGAAATAACAAGCAAAGGTAGAAATTGTATTAGTGTTTCATTTTAGCACAATGTAACATTCATGAGATTTGCATCTCCCCCTTCATGGGGCAAAAATGCTTGCAGAGATATGCCATAATCAAAAGGACTCTTGAGTCATCATTATTATGTACAGAAACTATATTCTTACTGTAAATTTAAAATATATCCATCTATATAAATCAACTACTAGGTTCTATCGTGGTTTTGTGGTTATTTTAATATTGTTTGAAATGCAAACAATATTACCTTCAAATTTTTAAGTTCTTAACAACAGTGAAAGAATACTGTTCAAATAAAACCAAAAATTGAAGACTCAATTTTTAACCTAAAAACATTACTAAAAATAACAAACAAAAGCATAAAACAACCAAAATAAATTAACATATGTTTAAGAAAGAAAAGTGAAAAAAAAAAGTTACTCTGACAATAAAAACTGATATTTACCATACAAAACATCAAAGAGACGCAGGTCCAAGAGCTTGTTTCCAATGTTGGCCAAAAAGGTTGAACTGGACTTCCAGTTCATGGGACATGAGGAATCGCACAGCTGGTTGTATTGTGTCATCTAAGGATGCTCCTCCAATTTCTGTAGCCATGGCAACCTTAAGTACAATGACAATAACAGGACAACATTTTGTTTTTGTTCATCAGTTTGTCATTATATCACTCTTATGTGCTTAATTTCACTAACATATTAATCTACCTTTTTCAAATCATTATAAAGTGATCTTCACACGCTGATCCTCTTGAAGCCTGCAAAAATATATATTTTATTAGTGCAATATAACATTTAGACTTTTCAAAAAATAAAAAAATTAAGGCAAAACAGCCTTTGTATAGATTAACTACTGAAGCCTTATATTGTAAACACTGAACAGTTTTGCAATTATCCTAATTTCTTTGTTAACGTGACAGGACTAAGACAGTAGTATTACTCTTAAGAGAAGTTTAGAAAATCACTATAAATGTAACTAATAAAGCCTAAAACATTGCACATATAAAAAAATTAGAGCTACAATTAAATATAAGTACATTTCACATAACTGCTAGCTAAATATTGCAAAAATATCAAAAAGAATTTCTTCATCTTTCAATATTTGTTTCAGGCTTGGCCACTGATTGACATGATGGGTTTCAATTTACGGACCCACATGCAGTAACCACACGTTGGATAGGGATGAGTGAGTGATTTATTTACAACAGGACAAAATAAAATCTATTTCCCGGACATCAGCGGAAGGGTGAGGACCACTCGACCAGGTTGGCCTGAAACGAGAACTTAGTTATGACGGGCTTAGAATGAGTGATCGGAGGGGAAACAGGAACAGGCTTACTTCGGTGCGGGTCTTTCGAGGCGTGGGTGTGAGATGCCAGGTTCCTGAGAGAGGGTGTGCAGCGGTTCCGAAGGTAAATGCGAGGTGGGAATGGAAGAGAGCTGGAAGCTCGAAGGGTGGAGTGGAGGCAGTGGAATCGGCGGAGCGAGCAGGCAGGTATTCACTGGTGAGTTCTCGAATGAGGCGACAAAACCCCTAGGATCGAACAAACACAGAGACCAGGTGACTTCTAGTAGACACAGAAACGTTCTCAGAAAACTGTTCACAACAGGAGAGGCCAGAGTGACTACCGGTGTATGCAACCATCTAGCATACACCAGTAGAATCTTCAGTCAATCTAGCGTAGACTGAAGATTCTGCTGCTCCTCCACCTGTGCCAAGCTCCACGGGCTCCTCACAAAGATCCTCGCTGAAATAAGATGCGACACTCACATACACACACAGGAACCCTGACACTGATGACTACTCTAGACCAACACAATAGCGGCAGATTGAAATAAACTATGACATAACAAAACGCTTTAAAGTGTCACACAACAATTAAAAAAAGAATTTAAAAATATGAACTACAATGCCTTCATCCTATTTACAAAAAACCTTTTAGGCCCAATATACTGAAACCACATGGGCCCCATATAGTGTTCCCATTTCTGTCCCATGCCCGGTTAGCCCACGTTAATGCTGAATTGGGCCCATACATTTAACCCAATTGAGCCAACAATATGAGTCCCATTTCGGTTAACCTTTTGAGCCTCACGCAGTTGGCCCAGATAAAACCCATGCCCTCTTATCATTACCTATATAGCCCAAAGCTAAACGATTCAATGCAGTTTTATTGAAAAAAACGACAATAATAATCTTGCATGGGTCCCAGCCAAACCAGCCTGAATCCATACATGAGACCCACCCATGCATGCTGATGTGACTGTGAGAAAGATTATTAAAAGCCCAAGTACATAGAATGAAAGCACAATAGTTACTCTTTTTAAATCATACAAATGGTTTTATTGTGTCCAGACACTTTGTAACAACCTCTGCTAGCAACATAGATTCTTCAGTGAACCGATTTCATTCTGCCTCGTTGGCGCTCAAATGAACCAATGGCAGCTCAACAAATAGAATGGCGGCGGTATTTGAAAATGGTTTGGCCCACAACGCTGCGTTTGAAATCGGTCTGCACTAAAATCTGCTTATTGTGTGTAGCTGTGTGTGTTAGCAATATCAGAAAAAGTATCACCCTAAAGAAAAGCAAAAATAACAATAACAATTAAGTCTCTTTTGGGATACTGTCGTCCGATTTGTTACGAGCAACAATTTTTTTAACAAGCGATTTAAAATCTCTCCCTAAAATTTGGTACTAGGTAAAACAGAAGAAATGTACTTACAGATTCTTTCGTAGATCAGCCAACAGGCAGACTCCGCGCCAACGGACTGATGAAGAGAACAGGCTTGATTTTGAAACCGCATATCCATCCGCGGGTCATTTTACGTTTTCCAAGAAACACAAGATTAATTTTTGAGAGTGCTACATCGGTTTAACAAATGTAAAACCGATGTAGCAAAAGTTCTCAATGTAAATAAATACATTTCGTTGTCCTCCTTATTCAAATATGTTTTGGAACTATTTTCTTCAGTGGATGTGTAAAGTGCCTACCGGTACTTCAATTCACCAACCTTTATTGGCAACGGTGCCTCAGAGCAAACAATGAACAAAAGGTAATTGGAACCAAATAAATCATTAACAGAAATGTTACGTTTTTTTATTTTTATTTTTATTTATACTGATGACTTGGAAAATGTTTGCAAATATATGAAAAAACAGATGCTCAAAATTTTACTCTTGTCTTTCACTTGCTAATGAGTTTTGTTTATTTTCTAAACATTTTGTGATATTTTTCACAATGGTCTGATCTGAACTATTTGTCCAAATAAAAATTTAAATCTTGCTGCGAACAGGCTGCAGTAAACTCTATGGATGTCTAAACATCCAATTGATAAAAAAATAATAAAAATAAAATAAAAAGTTATTATTATTAAAAATAAAACAAGGACTAAAGCTCAACCATGACCACTCTGTGCTTAATTTTGAGTAAGCACCAGAATATGAGTTTACGTATATATTTCAAACAGATTATTTCAAAAAATGTTTTAAGACATTCAGACTGCAATAATAAAATGAAAAAAAAGTTAGGGGTTCAAAGTGTAGCAAGAGCAATACTGAACTGGCTTTTGCTTTGACATACAGTGAAAAGTTTGAAAGTGACAGGGTAACCACATTGTCGATTAAAATGTTCTACAATTTTGTCCCATTTAGACCATGAAAAAAAGTACTAGGGGCTACATTTTCCTGCCCAGGTCCAACCCATGTATGGTTAGCCCATGCTCATGTCATGTTAGTTTAATGTGGACAGCCCACATTGGGCTTCTCATGTGGGGCCCATGATACTGAAACCACATGGGCCCCAAATAGTGTTGCCCATTTCTGTCCCATTTCCAGTTAGCCCACATTGTTGCTGAATAGGGCCCATACATTTAGCCCAAATGGGCCAGCCCATAGGGGTCCCATTTTAGTTAACCATATGTGTCCCATGAGGTTTGCCCAGATAAAACCCATGACCACTCATTACCCATATGGCCTACTACAAACCCAAGGGGGGCCCACTCATGCGTACTGGCTTGGAGACTGGACTGGACTGTTCTAGCATAAAATAATAACATGAAAAAATGTTAAGGGTTCAAAGTGTGGCTAGAGCAATACTGAACTGGTTTAAAAAAATAAAGCATTGTAGAATTATTTTTAATGTTTTAATATCCTGGTCCTCTGGAAGCCTAGTGTTTGTAAATGAGCCAGGCATAGATATCACACAGTGAACATGTTTTAGGTTCAAACATTAGGAAGACATGGATGTTCTGTTCTATCAGCAAAATATATCCTTGGGTGATCTCCAAGACGAGGTCACCTTCGTCCTGGAGACCTCGACAATGGTCAAGGTCACCAACCTTTACTATCGTCGAGGTTTCCTACAAGGAAAAAATTAAATTCTACAATTTACCTTACATCAACTCCATTAGAGGCCAGCTGAGTAACAATTGCCTTGGCAAAGACTATAAAGCTGACATCTCGGGTAATTCTTTCCAAGTTTTGAGAATCTTGCTCTTGCAGCTTTTGCTTTGACATACAGTCAAAATTTTGAAAGTGACAGGTTAACTACAGGGGTTGGACAATGAAACTGAAACACCTGGTTTTAGACCACAATAACTTATTAGCGTGGTGTAGGGCCTCCTTTTGAGGCCAATACAGCATCAATTCGTCTTGGACAAGTATGGGGCCAAGGGAATGCCATGATATGGCAGCCCACACCATCAATGATCCACCCCCATGCTTCACTCTGGCATACAACACTCTGGCTGGAATGCATCTTTGGGGCTTCTCCACACCGTAACTCTCCCGGATGTGGGGAAAACAGTAAAGGTAGACTCATCAGAGAACAATACATGTTTCACATTGTCCACAGCACAAGATTTTCGCTCCTTGCACCATTGAAACCGACGTTTGGCATTGATACGAGTGACCAAAAGTTTGGCTATAGCAGCCCGGCTGTGTATATTGACCATGTGGAGCTCCCGACGGACAGTTTTGGTGGAAACAGGAGAGTTGAGGTGCACATTTAATTCTACCGTGATTTGGGCACCGTGGTTTTATTTTTTTGGGATACAATCCAGGTTAGCACCCAAACATCTCTTTAAGACAGCTTCATCTTGCATCCACAGTTAATCCTGTTAGATGTGGTTCGTCATTCTTGGTGGTATGCTGACATTACCCTGGATACTGTGGCTCTTGATAATCACAAAGACTTGCTGTCTTGGTGAACAATTTGCCCTCTTTTGAACTCCAGTATGTCCCAAATAATGTTATGTGCATTGCAATATTTTGAGCAAAACTGTGCTCTTACCCTGCTAATTGGACCTTCACACTCTGCTCTTACTGTTGCAATGTGCAATTCATGAAGATTGGCCACCAGGCTAGTCCAATTCAGGCATGAAACCTCCCACACTAAAATGAGAGGTGTTTCAGTTTCATTGTCCAACCCCTGTACATTGTTCTACAATTTTGTCTCATTTAGCCCACTTAAAAAAGGACTGGGGTCTACATATCCACACCCAGGTCCAACCTGGGCGTGGATATGTACTGACCACACTGAACCCACAGTGGGTTCAGTGTGGTCAGCCCACATGGTCTCCCCATGTTGGGCCCATGACATGAGCCCATGCTGATGTCATGTGGGTTCAGTGTGGTCTGCCCACATGGTCTCCCCATGTTGGGCCCATGATACTGAAACCACATGGGCCCCACATAGTTTTGCCCAGTTCTATCCCATTCCCAGTTAGCCCACTTAAAAAAGGACTGGGGCCTACATATCCACACCCAGGTCTAACCCATATATGGTCAGCCCATGCTGATGTCATGTGGGTTCAGTGTGGTCTGCCCACATGGTCTCCCCATGTTGGGCCCATGATACTGAAACCACATGGGCCCCACATAGTTTTGCCCAGTACTATCCCATTCCCAGATAGCCCACTTAAAAAAGGACTGGGGCCCACATATCCACACCCAGGTCTAACCCATATATGGTCAGCGCATGCTGATGTCATGTGGGTTCAATGTGGTCTGCCCACATGGGCTTCCCATGTTGGGCCCATGATACTGAAACCACATGGGCCCCATATACTGTTGCCCAGTACTATCCCATTCCCAGATAGCCCACTTAAAAAAGGACTGGGGCCTACATATCCACACCCAGGTCTAACCCATATATGGTCAGCCCATGCTGATGTCATGTGGGTTCAGTGTGGTCAGCCCACATGGTCTCCCCATGTTGGGCCCATGATACTGAAACCACATGGGCCCCACATAGTTTTGCCCAGTTCTATCCCATTCCCAGTTAGCCCACTTAAAAAAGGACTGAGGCCTACATATCCACACCCAGGTCTAACCCATATATGGTCAGCGCATGCTGATGTCATGTGGGTTCAATGTGGTCTGCCCACATGGGCTTCCCATGTTGGGCCCATGATACTGAAACCACATGGGCCCCATATACTGTTGCCCAGTACTATCCCATTCCCAGATAGCCCACTTAAAAAAGGACTGGGGCCTACATATCCACACCCAGGTCTAACCCATATATGGTCAGCCCATGCTGATGTCATGTGGGTTCAGTGTGGTCAGCCCACATGGTCTCCCCATGTTGGGCCCATGATACTGAAACCACATGGGCCCCATATACTGTTGCCCAGTACTATCCCATTCCCAGATAGCCCACTTAAAAAAGGACTGGGGCCCACATATCCACACCCAGGTCTAACCCATATATGGTCAGCGCATGCTGATGTCATGTGGGTTCAATGTGGTCTGCCCACATGGGCTTCCCATGTTGGGCCCATGATACTGAAACCACATGGGCCCCATATACTGTTGCCCAGTACTATCCCATTCCCAGATAGCCCACTTAAAAAAGGACTGGGGCCTACATATCCACACCCAGGTCTAACCCATATATGGTCAGCCCATGCTGATGTCATGTGGGTTCAGTGTGGTCAGCCCACATGGTCTCCCCATGTTGGGCCCATGATACTGAAACCACATGGGCCCCACATAGTTTTGCCCAGTTCTATCCCATTCCCAGTTAGCCCACTTAAAAAAGGACTGGGGCCTACATATCCACACCCAGGTCTAACCCATATATGGTCAGCGCATGCTGATGTCATGTGGGTTCAATGTGGTCTGCCCACATGGGCTTCCCATGTTGGGCCCATGATACTGAAACCACATGGGCCCCATATACTGTTGCCCAGTACTATCCCATTCCCAGATAGCCCACTTAAAAAAGGACTGGGGCCTACATATCCACACCCAGGTCTAACCCATATATGGTCAGCCCATGCTGATGTCATGTGGGTTCAGTGTGGTCAGCCCACATGGTCTCCCCATGTTGGGCCCATGATACTGAAACCACATGGGCCCCACATAGTTTTGCCCAGTTCTATCCCATTCCCAGTTAGCCCACTTAAAAAAGGACTGGGGCCTACATATCCACACCCAGGTCTAACCCATAGATGGTCAGCCCATGCTGATGTCATGTGGGTTCAATGTGGTCTGCCCACATGGGCTTCCCATGTTGGGCCCATGATACTGAAACCACATGGGCCCCATATACTGTTGCCCAGTACTATCCCATTCCCAGATAGCCCACTTAAAAAAGGACTGGGGCCCACATATCCACACCCAGGTCTAACCCATATATGGTCAGCCCATGTTGATGTCATGTGGGTTCAATGTGGTCAGCCCACATGGGCTTCCCATGTTGGGCCCATGATACTAGAACCACATGGGCCCCACATACTGTTGCCCAGTACTATCCTTCCCAGATAGCCCACTTAAAAAAGGACTGGGGCCCACATATCCACACCCAGGTCTAACCCATATATGGTCAGCCCATGCTGATGTCATGTGGGTTCAATGTGGTCTGCCCACATGGGCTTCCCATGTTGGGCCCATGATACTGAAACCACATGGCCCCCATATACTGTTGCCCAGTACTATCCCATTCCCAGATAGCCCACTTAAAAAAGGACTGGGGCCCACATATCCACACCCAGGTCTAACCCATATATGGTCAGCCCATGTTGATGTCATGTGGGTTCAATGTGGTCAGCCCACATGGGCTTCCCATGTTGGGCCCATGATACTAGAACCACATGGGCCCCACATACTGTTGCCCAGTACTATCCCATTCCCAGATAGCCCACTTAAAAAAGGACTGGGGCCCACATATCCACACCCAGGTCTAACCCATATATGGTCAGCCCATGCTGATGTCATGTGGGTTCAATGTGGTCAGCCCACATGGGCTTCCCATGTTGGGCCCATGATACTAGAACCACATGGGCCCCACATACTGTTGCCCAGTACTATCCCATTCCCAGATAGCCCACTTAAAAAAGGACTGGGGCCCACATATCCACACCCAGGTCTAACCCATATATGGTCAGCCCATGCTGATGTCATGTGGGTTCAATGTGGTCAGCCCACATGGGCTTCCCATGTTGGGCCCATGATACTAGAACCACATGGGCCCCACATACTGTTGCCCAGTACTATCCCATTCCCAGATAGCCCACTTAAAAAAGGACTGGGGCCCACATATCCACACCCAGGTCTAACCCATATATGGTCAGCCCATGCTGATGTCATGTGGGTTCAATGTGGTCAGCCCACATGGGCTTCCCATGTTGGGCCCATGGTACTGAAACCACATGGGCCCCATATACTGTTGCCCAGTACTATCCCATTCCCAGATAGCCCACTTAAAAAAGGACTGGGGCCCACATATCCACACCCAGGTCTAACCCATATATGGTCAGCCCATGCTGATGTCATGTGGGTTCAATGTGGTCAGCCCACATGGGCTTCCCATGTTGGGCCCATGATACTGAAACCACATGGGCCCCATATACTGTTGCCCAGTACTATCCCATTCCCAGATAGCCCACCTAGTTGCTGAATAGGGCCCATGCATTTAGCCCATATGGGCCAGCCCATATGGGTCTCATTTTAGGTTAACCATATGTGTCCCATGCAGTTCGCCCAGATAAAACCCATGCCCACTCATTACCCATGTAGCCCACATCAAACACAAGTGGGGCCCACTCATGCGTGCTGGCTGGGTATGTTCAGGTAAATCCTGTCTCTCTCTGTATCTTTTTCCATAATTTAAGAAAGAATGCCAGACAAAAACGTTTTAAGTGGCGAGATTTTGATTTCCTTCTCTAAAGCAGCTGATCTGTACCCAACTGAGTCAAGCGCCTGTTTTCAGGGGATCTTTTGTTTTGCAGTGACCTGGAGCTCCAGTATTCCCTGCAGATCCTGCTGGAGCTGGAGATGCACATCCGAGGCAGCGGGCCCAGTCCGTTCAGCTCCCAGAAACCGGAGCAGGTCCAGACCTGTCCTAACAAACCGCCGGTCTACTGCAACTCCCACTGGGTCTGCTTCCAGGGCCTCCTGCCTCAGGATGACCTCCAGGGGTCACTTAATGATGAGGTCTGAGGGCCACACTAAGAAATTATGACTTTATTTTCATAACACTCATTACTATTGTATGAGTCATTGTGCGACTTTATCCTTGTAATATTATGACTTTATTCTCAAAATATTGTTACTTTATTCTGATTTTATTCACATGATATCATAAATTCAATTTGTGGGGGTTTATTCTTCTAATATTATGACTTTATTCCTGTAATTTTATGACTTCATTTTAACAATATTATGGTTTTATTCTCAAAATACTCTGACTTTACTTTTACATTATTTTAACTTTATTCTTACATGACTTTATTCTTATATTATCACTTTAATCTCACATTATCATATGTAACTTTATTTCCATAATGTTATGACTTAATTTTTTGCAATTTTATGACTTTATTCTCTTATTATTTTGACTTTATTCTCAAAAATCTTTGACATTACTATGACTTTATTGTTGTACACCTAAGACTTTTCTCATAATAATATAATATCATGGTTTTTTTCTGAGTATTTTCTGGGAGACATTGTCTCCAAGAGCCAAAGTGAACCTGACTTTTCTCCTCATGATGCTTTAATTAAAAAGGGACAGTAAAAATCTCTAACAGCTGATTTTTCTTGATGACGTGAGCAGCAGTTCCCCCTCTGCTGGCGGCCTGCGGTAATGCAGCTGCTGGATAAACAGCTCATTGCTTCACATTAATCATGAATTATTTCTGTCATTACTTCATGGCTCCCTGTGATTCACAATTACAGATTTTTCAACAGCTGCGTGAAAATGGAGCTGTTGTACATTAATATACCTTCATCTGAAAGAATCAAATTACTGGTTTGTTAATCTCCACAAATGCAGCAGCTGACTGTTTAATTCGCTGTTAATTAATTGCAGATGTAACTACACTCTTCCAGCCAAATTACATTTCAAGTGTTTTAAATGAAATGTGAAAAGTGGAAAATAAACACACACAAAGCAGAATTTAATTTCTTTTCTTTAGTGCTTTTTGTATTCTTTGAAATCTTGCAGAGGATTTTATTTTTTATTCTCAGTGTGCTTTTATTATTGCGGGGAATAATAAAACTGGATGTTGTCTTTATTTTATTTTATTTTTTGCGTGAAGTGAGTTTTTCTGTGAGATTCAATTGATATTGACATCATCTAAGTTGGTTGTTGCTTTTGTTTCTGTTCTGTTTTAAACTGCAGAACATTTTGGTATAAAAAAACATTTTTATTTAACTGAGCGATACTGACCTCTTGTGGAGAGAGAGAGTAGAGGCAGGAAAAGTTCAGAGATCTGGTTTGAAACTTATGACCTCTGCAATGTGTTTATTATGACACACATGAAGGTTGTTGTTGTTTAATGGTAATAACACAGTGCAGGTTTTCTGTCAGATAAAGAAGTGAGCTGGTTGTGCTCATCTCTTCCTCCTCTCTGTCAGACGGAGGGTTTTTTGTTCTCATGCAGTCTGGAACGCTCTGGGGTTGTCAGACGTTTCCAGAAGCCTGGAGCAGGTGTTAAATCTGCAGGCTGCTCAGATATCAAGCCCAGCAGGAGAAGCAGCTGAGCAGCGTCTGTTTTACACCATTAGCAGCTTCAGAATGACGGAGACTCAGAGGTAAGCAGAGCAATTCAGCCATTTACTTCCTCTGCTCCATGTTTGCTTTGACATTAAAATGACTGATTTCATGGAGCAACATTTAAATGTGAAGTGCAGGTCGTGGTAGATCGCTGAAAACCCTGCAGCAGAGTTCACTTGATATTCAGATTGTGACTCTAAACCTTAGCATTTAAAAAGCAACGGGATATCTATGAGCTTTTTCTACAAAATTTCTCAGATTAATCTCAAAATTTCTGAGCTTTTTTTTTTTAGCAAATTTTATACTTTTGAAAGTCAGATATTTTCTTGATTTATCTCACATATTTCTTGAATTTTTAAAATGTTCTTTTCAAGCTAATTTTAAATTTTTTAAGTTAATAAATTTTCTAGTTTTTTGTAGAAGATTTTTGAGATTAATCTCAACAATTCTGTTTTTTTTTTTTAGTAAGTTTTTGACTTTTGAAACTCAAATGTTCAATTTTCTTTCTGGAGAATTTCTGAGCTGACTTTAAGGATTTATACATTTTTCCTTGCAAAATTTAAAGTTTTCTAACTCAGAAATGTTTTTGGGTTTTTTTCCTAGAAAATTTGCGTAATTAATCGAACATTTTCAGATTTTTTTTTTCTTTTTGTTTTCTGAGATTGATGTCAAAAACAGTTTTTTTTCTAGTTTTGACTAGAAGTTTTGACTTTTCAAGCTCAGAAATTTTTCTTTTTTTTTTCAGGAAATTTCTGAGATCAATCTAAAAAGTTTTCTGAGATATTTTTGGCAGAAATCTTTAGGCCCTAAATATTCACACACCATTGATGACTGGGAAGTTTTAAAGCCGTGTCTTGATGTATTCAACAGTTTGTTATTTTTTTTGGAGTGTTTCTTTATTCTCTGACTTTTTGTTTTTGTTTTCCGCAGCACCGTCCAGCTGGCCCCAGCTAAACCTCTGGCCTTCCACTCGCAGAAGGAAATGTTTGAGAAAATGGAGGAATCTTTTAAAATCTGTGCGTTCTGTGAGAAACGACCTGAACAACTTTCAGAGTCTCAGAGTTTGAAGCGCTGTGCCAGGTAAAATGAGAAGAGGACCCAGATTATGGCCGTTACCTGAACAAACGAGGAAATCTGTCTCAGTGAATGAGAACGTCAGATTACAATCACATTATTGGTAATTCAATTAAAAAAATCAAATGTATTTTATTGATTCAGTACATACTATGGGATTCCTCCAGTATTTCATGGATCTCGATGCTCAAACTCTTGAAATAGCTTTACTTCATAGTAGTACTTCAATAGTTTTTCCTTCCACTCAACTTTCCTTCGATGTGCTTATGTACATTGCTGCCAAAATCTTTACATTTGAGTTTAATATATCTTGGTATATATTTTGGATTTTTTAGTTCTCAATTATTTATCAATTTCTGGACAAATAATGTCCACAGGAGGATCTGTGGTATAAAGCTTATACTCTTGAAACAGAGTGTAAGCTTTATTTGTTGCTTTAAGCTTTAAGTGTTGAAATTTATTTACGGTGTAATAAAAAAAAAAATTCAACCAAGGAATGAAAAAACCCCCAAATCATTTCATGTTGTTTCCTGATTTCCTGCTAAAGTTTAAGCTCTTGTGATACTTAAAGGTCTGGTGGAGTGTTATCTGTATCACCCAGTTATAATCCAGAGTTTCAATAACTTTAATTTAGGTATGTTATTGTAAACACTTCAGAAATCACGTGGGGAATATGAGGAAGAAATAAATCCCTGAACTACTTCACTGAATGTGTTATAAATCTTTGTGATACATTTATTTGATGGTATTATAATTCTCTGAGCTGCGTCTTTATGTCCTTTTGTCCATTCCCTGTCCAGGTGTCTAAATGTTTATTACTGCTGTAAAGGCTGTCAGAAGGAGGATTGGTCCAAACACAAGAAGTTCTGCCCACAGCTGCGTTTAGCTGCAATTGACAGAGTTGTTGAATGGCTTCTGTTCAAAGGTAATAACTGGAAACCATCTCTTCCAGTTAACTAAGCTTGTAAAAACCAGACGCTTGTCCTTTGCTTTGTCTGACTTATGTAGCGCTTCGATGTAAAGAAGCTTACTGGAAATTGGCTGCTGTGAACATTTTTCTAAAAAAAAATTCTGAGATTAATCTGACGTTTTATCAAAAATTTTCCAGCCCTTTTTTACTTTTGAAGCTTGAAATTAAAAAAAAAAAAAAAAAAAAGAAAATATCCGATAACCTAACCTTTTCTCAGTTTTTTCTAGAAAATTTGTGATTTTTTATGTTTTTTGTAGAATATTTCTGAGACGTTTTGCAGAATTTGTCTGGTTCTCTGTTTTTCTCCGGGTCCATGCTGACCTCATGGTGGTTCTCCTCTTGTCCACCAGGCGACCTTCCGTTCCCCACAGAGAAGTGGTCAAAGCCGGGGTCAGAGGTGAAGACCTGGGACGACTGGCTCTCCATGCAGGGCAATCTCTCTGCCCGCCTCGACGCCGTCGTCGGTGGAGCCAACCTGAAGGATTTATGGGCCGACGCTGGCCGGCCCCGACCCGCTGACGATGATCTGAAGCAGTCGCTCTGGAGGGTGTGCAGTGAGTTCTTCTCGAGGCCCCTGACCGTGGCCCTGGGCCTCAGGCTGTTTGGCCTCAGCCCAGCCTCCCGGCCCCTCACCGTCCACCTGGTGGGGGCGGGGCCCGCAGAGACGCTGGGGGCCAAGCTGAGCGACTACGACGAGCTGAACCACGTGTTCCCTGGACACCAGGGCATCGAGGTGGTCCTGGTGGGGCCCGAGGTGGTGGACGGCCCCATCCTGAGGCCTCCTCTTCGAGCCTTCGGTCCCAAGCAGCGGGTCTACGTCAGCGCCTACAGGGGCCTCTACCACGACTTCTGGGAGGAGCTGGTGGAGAAAGAGGAGGCAGCCAAACCGGACCTGGTGGTTGGTTTCAATCCAGGTCAGAACCACAGAGTCATCAGGATCAGAACGATAATAAACTTATCAAGATTAACCACTTAATCTTAATCTGTGGGGAGCCGGAGGAAGCTGCAGGAAGCTGCAGGAAGCTGCAGGAAGCTGCAGGAAGCCGCAGGAAGCTGCAGGAAGCTGCAGGAAGTTGCAGGAAGCTGCAGGAAGCTGCAGGAAGCTGTAGGAAGCTGTAGGAAGCTGTAGGAAGATGCAGGAAGCTGCAGGAAGCTGTAGGAAGCTGTAGGAAGTTGCAGGAAGCTGCAGGGAGCCGCAGGAAGCTGCAGGTTGTGACGACGTATTTTAAAGCCTTTTTCTTTGATTCCTCCCAGGTTTGGATGCCAGTCAGGGTTTGGACCAGGGCTGGCTCCCAACTCTTCTGCTCCTCCGCGATTATGAGATTCCCTCCATGTTCACCACGCTCACGTAAGTTTCACTCTTTTGCAGACATAAACACCAAAATTTCCTCCAGAAATAGAGAAATTAGATGCAGCTAAATAAATATGTAATAAAACTAGAACTTTTTTGTTTACTTGCCACATTCAGTTGCTCTAAACTTTGTAGATGAACATTAGAAATGACAAAAGTTTTACTAAACAAATAAAAATGCAGTTTTAGTCCAATAATGATTTAATTCAGGGGTGTCCAAAGTGTGGTCCGGGGGCCATTTGTGGCCCTCTGAACAATTTTGGGCGGCCAAAATTCACATTATATGCAGTTCTGTTTCCTGTAGAATCTTTATTTTGATACAAAAACAAAGATTTCTACATAAAATTCCTCCGCAAAGCATAAAAAGTTGACATGACAAATAATCTTATTCTAAATACAATAAAATAGATGCAAAGATAAAATAAAAATAAAAAGCATTTGCAGATTCTTAAGGCAACAAAAATACCGATTATTTCTCCAGAGCAGGATTTTTGTCCCAGATGCTGTCTGTCCTCTGCAGGGAGACAGATATGACCTACGCTCTGCAAATCCTGCTGGAGCTGGAGGTGGACGTGAAGGGAAGTGGAGCCAACCCGTTTGCCTCTCTGAAGCCAGAGGTTGTCGGTTCAACACCCAACAAGCCTCCTGTCTTCTGCAACTCGCACTACTTCAGCTTTCAAGGTTTACTGGAAACGGCAGAGCTGGAGGAGCCAGAGTCGACCTGAAGGGGGCGCCAGTGGAAAATGTTTGTCATTTCATTTTTATAACTAAAGAGTTATGATGTTCTAATTATGACCAAGCTTTTAATAACAGAAACACTTGGAGGGTTTATAACTTTTAAACCAGGAGCTCCAGGAATCAAGAAGTTTGCATTTATTATGTCAGTTTTATTGCATTCAAATGATTCTCAGTAAGATTTGGATATAATGAGTCTGTGAAATACAGCAGAGTTCACTGCAAAAACACAAAATCTTACCAAGTATTTTCAGTCTGGTTTGTAGTGCACAAACAATCAAATCAAATATCAGTGAGATATAGGATCTTGGTTAATAATTCTTTATTATTGATTTTAAAAAAATTGTTCCATTGACAGATTATTTCACAAATGGCACGGGAAAAACATTTTGTTATAAGTGAAATAATCTGCCAGTGGAACTAGAACTTTCTCATCTGCATTAAGGATTATTTACTTAAAATAAGCCTCCACATCCATCTGAAAAAGGTTACTTAAATGTTTGCTTTGTCTTATTTCAAGTGTACTAAGATATTTGCACCAAAATTACTTGACAGTCATATAAAATTATGCCAAATATCAGCGGATGTTTTCAGCTCCAGTAAACGAAGACAAACCTCAAACTTCACAGCTGTTTTCATTTTTATTCGGATAATGAAGTTACATCTGGACTTTTCTACAGTGACCTGATGGATAGAAGCAGGTCTACACTGTAAAGAATGAGGTTCAAAACGCTTCCTGCCGTGACGGCGTTCATGTCTGAGTAGGAACATTTGGTGCAGGTGTAAGGGTTGTGCCTGTAGCGTCTGTAGCCAAACACGGTCCAGAGGATGACAGCAAGCAGGTACAGCATCACCGCCACCATGTTGAACACCAACTCCACCAGGTTCAGCCTGAACACCAGCAGACACTGCAGAAGCTTCAGCAGGTTGAGGACGATGATGGCCGCCGTGACCAGGAGGCAAACTCCAAAGATGACGGCGCACAGCGTCATCCCGAAAGGTTTGTAGAACCATTCGCCTCTCACAAAATGGTCGACGGCAGCGGTGAGGATCATGCAGCCGACGAATGCCTCCAATATGCGGAGAGTTCCTCTCAGGCTGGACATGTAGCCGCTGCCGAACGCCGTCTTCTGCTTGACGACGTCCACCAGAAAGCTCGCCGTGGCGAGCAGCGAGAAGACGAAGCACAGGACGTTTGCGATGCAGGTGAGGCAGACGAAAACGGCGGCGAAGGCCAGCGTGGCGGAGACCACGCAGATGCAGCACACAGCTGTCAGGCCCAGGGTCAGGTCGGCCCAGTTGGGGAGGAAGGCCGCCAGCAGGATGTGCCAACCTCTGCTCTCCACCAGGAGCAGCACCAAGGGGACGACGATGCACAACACCCAGACGAACTCACAGCAAACGCCCCAGGGGACGACCATCCTGCCTCTGAACAGGACGACGGCCAGAGCCAGAGCGCTGGATATCATCTCCACCAGGCGAATAATCCCCTGGAAGCTGGAGAACGGGCCACACATGCTGCCCGGTTCGGGTTTCCAGGTTCTTCTGAGGAAGAAGCTGCGTTCACTCCAGAACTGGAGGATGAACCGTTTCTGCCGTCGTAATAAAACTCCAGCAGTGAGATCTGCTTTGTATTCAAATGTGTGAGTCAGTCCCAGTGTGTGCACATGGAAATGATCAAACTGACCAGAACTGCAGTTGGAACAAAGTAAAATGAACAACTAGTTTCTCAAACTGAAGATCACTTTACCTGTTTCACAAACACTCACCTAACTTCAAATCATCTCAATATATGATACAACCTGAAATGAAAATATTAGCCTCTTAAGTCACTTGTTATCATGAGCAATTCATCTCTGGGCATTTTGAGTTATTTTCATATATTAAGCTTTCCAATAATGTCAAACACATGGAAATAAAAGAAGCAGCTACCAAGTGCATTTATAACATTTAGGCTTATTTTTCCTAAATGTTAGGCAGAAACAAAAATTATCTTCTGTAATGTTATACTGTATATAAAAAATAAACACCTATGTATTTATCTATTGTATTTAACTAATTAAATTCTATAATGTTTTGTTAAATAACAAAATAAAAACTGTTGAGGTGCAACCAGAGCAGCATTAGAAAGCAAAGTTAAAAATAACAGAACCGTGAATCCTACAGTTCACGTCATAGAACTGTTCAAAAGAATCAATCATCAATGAACGACACATGAACACTCTGATTCCTCTGATCGCTTAAATTTTTCTGCTGTTGTTTCCTTTCCACCGATGTCTTCAGTTTTTCTTTTAAGCCACTTTTCTATTATTATATTTAACCACAATATCAGGTTTAAATAACTACTTTTTGTTTTACTGTAGAATAATTTTGATACTTGTTTCAAATTTCAGTTTTTTTTTAAAAAAACTCTACTTTATTCAACTCTGACAAAATTAATAAAAGATTAACATAACTCAAACATTTAGGTTCAAAATCTAAAACTCGCAAAATTTATTTGACTTAAAAAGCAGAAGATAGTAGACACAACTAAATGCAGCTCAAAATAAATGTTTTACAGTGTGATAAGTCACATGTTCAGATCAAAGGACAGAGACATGCAGCTTTCACCTCACTTTATACTGGAGTTACAACACAGCATCTTTAGAAATATCGTTAAAAATATCAGTGGAGCTTTTCTGTATATTCAAGTCAAATTTCTTGCCATACTATCAAAAGTCGTAATGTTTATGTTCGCTTAAAGCCACAGATGCCGAGAAGCGTAAAAATCAGGTCCACCGTAAAAAGGATGAGATTCACATAAGTAAAAAATGCAACCATGAACTGAATGGCCCAAATACAGAAGCTGGGGGGGCAGTCGCTGGGACGCGGATTGTGTCTGAACATGAAAATGGGCCACATGATGGCTGTGAATATGTACAGCACAACTGAGATCACCAGGAAAACAAAGACGAACCGGTCCAGGTTAAAGGGCAAACAGTTCTTCAGCTTTTTTAGGATGTTGGTGGCTATGATGAGAGGCAGGATGGGGAAAGGGATGATGTACGCGATGACGCAGAAGATCAGCGCCGGCTTGTCTCTGTAACCGGTGAGAGACACAAAAATCATGCAGCTCACGAAGGCCTCCAGAACCTTCCAGAACCCGGGAAGAGCTGCCAGGTAGCTCCCTTTCTTCTTGTCCAGGAACTTGTCCTTCACCACTTCCAGCATGTAGAGGAAGCCACACAGGAAGGCGAACACGCTCACTATCCAGCCGTAGAGGCATTTCAGGCAGGCGTAGAAGTTGGCGTAAGTTATGGCGACGGAGACGGTCATGAGAGAGGAGGACATGGCCATCCCTGTGGTGAAGTCGTCCCAGTCCATGCAGAACAGGTTAAGGATTATATGGAGCCCAAACAGCTCGATGACGGTGATGATGAGGGTCATGATGGGGCAGAAGGCCCAGGTGAACATGGCGTAGATCCAGTACGTATGGCTGCTCCCTCCTCTCAACAAACCCAGGACAAAGGTGACCAGACACAGAACGATCTGAGCCATGTGGAGCCCGCCTCGGCCGGTCAGCAAGCTGGACGGATTGAACACCGCCTTGGACAGCGTGTCCTTAACATCGTCAATAACACCCATTCTTTCTAAGAGTCAGAGAAATGACTTTGTCCTCTCAGGTTGGCTGACAGATAACTTCTCCCTGCAGGGTTTCCTCTCCAGCTCTACTTTCCATGCTTTGGTTTGCATAACAGTCATGGAGCAGACTGTGAATAATGAGACGTATCTGCTGCTGCTGATAGGAACACGCCTAATCATTAAAGCACAACATTTAAAATTACTGGTAGACAAAAACTGATGCCTTTGTATTTTAGGTCTGTATTAAATGTTTTTGTTTTCTTTTTTGTTCAACAGAAGTTGCATTCTTCCTAATCCAAGCTTTAACTGTTATTATCCACCAAAACAATGTGATATTCTATTGTGGAGTGCAAACTAGAGATGCACAGAATTGAAAATTTGGGCTGATATCGATATCCGATATTACCATAGAGGCCAATTACCGATAGATATTTACTGATATTATATATATATAGTTTCCTACCTTATTATTACCATCACAGAAACTCCAAATCCTGAGCTGCATCACTGTCACTGACCAAAAATCATCATATGTTAACGTTTTTATTGAATGTTAATTTTATGTGTGAAACAGCATCAAACTAATTGTTTGTTTGTTTGTTTATTTTTTTATTTTATGACACTTAATGAGTACATTAGAGAAATAAGGTCATTGAAAAATATATATATAATAAGAGTAGATCCTCATAGTTTTGATAAAATTTTGATAAAATTATTTTTCACAATGGCCCTAATCTGCTTGCGAATGTGAGGTTATACTACCTTTTTATTATTATTGTTTTGTTTTGGGTTTTTATTTACAAAAAATTAAATTATTAGTAATAATAATAATAATTCCGTACAATTACTTTTTGATTTTCAGGCGGGCCATTACATTAATTATGTGTTTCCGGGGAAGGTAAATAAGAAGCACAAGCGGAAGTTGTTGTCAGTTTGGACGTTTGCTAGCATTAGCCGCTGTGGAATATGTGTACTTTGCAGCTTTTGCGTGAGTAAACGTGTAAAAATAACTCTGGAGGAGGCCGTCGCTTTGTTAGAGCTTTATCTGGTTGTAATGATCATCTCCTTTTCCTGGGCGATTTATTTTATATTCGTGTCGAAGCCTTTGGTTGGGAAGACTTAGCTAGCCCGGAGGCTAACAGGATGGCTCGATGACGGCCGAAGGTTCTGGCTGAACATCGGGGAAAAGGCTGAGAGCTCTGGGAGCGGAGAGATGGACTTCTCCAAGTTCCTGGATGATGATTTCGATGTGAAGGACTGGGTGAACGGCGCCTTCAAGATGGTGCAGAAGGAGGCTCCGGGGAAGGCGGACACTCATGCAGCAACTCTGGTGATGAAGCTGCAGCTCTTCATCCAGGAGGTCAACAATGCTATCGAGGGTCAGTGACCAGAAAACAGAACATATTTAAATATTATAACCAAGCAGCAGTGGCTCAGTAAATGTCTTCACTGGCTTTAAACTAGCCAGATGTCTCACATAATCCAGTCATAACTGGATTATTATAGATTTCATTGCAATGCATGAAGCTTTCAGTAAAAAATAAATTATTTCAGGTTTGAAGAGTGTTGTTGTAGATTGGTTCAGATGCTAAACTAATATGACTTTCTATTCAACTTTGACAAGTGAAATAAAAGTTTCACAAACTTTAAATAATCTGAAATTAGAGAAGTAAAAATCCAGTCTAGGTTAAAAGACTCTAGATGTTGTAGTTTTAGTCTGCTCCAGATGCATAAAAAAGAGCTAAAATAAGCCTTTAATAATTTGATCCCATAAATCAAATGAAAGTTTCCCAAATAATAATCTAAGTTTGAATGAGTGCAGAGTCATTTAGTCCAGATTTAAAGTGTTTAAGTTGTTGAAGTGTGGGTCAGATGTTTGAAAGATGCTGAAATTGCACTTTATTGAAGCCTCACAAATCAAATGAAGGTTTATCAAATCACATATTTGATTTTAGTATCTGAGAATGAGTGTAGAATAGCTATGCAGTGTTTTGGGTTTTGTAGTTTTTTAAACTGCAGATGCTCAGGCTAGTAAAAAATTGGATGGAATGGCCCTTTAGCCATTTTTTGAATCTCCTTTCATCATCTTTAGCTTCATCTCTGACCTTGGACTAGATTAGCTAGAAAAAGAAACTTGTAATATTATTTGTTATTGTCATTACTATGATAGGAATTACACTGAAACTAATGCTAATGCTGTGTCAGACTGTGTCAGTGGTTTCAACAGCCAGTTAGGTTTATTGTTGTGCATTTTAATGACTCATCTGCTGGCTGTTTCTGTGTGCAGAGAGCAGTAATCAGGCGCTGCAGAACATGCCCCGGGTTCTGCGGGATGTGGAGGCACTGAAGCAGGAGGCGTCCTTCCTGAAGGAGCAGATGGTCCTCGTCAAGGAGGACATAAAGAAGTTCGAGCAGGACACCGTGCAATCCATGCAGGTGTGTGGCAGCTGCGTTAGAAGAAGGGACATAAAGTTGTTTTGAATAAACGATGTGGATCTCACTCCCACCAGGTCCTGGTGGAGATAGATCAGGTGAAGAGTCGGATGCAGCTGGCCGCTGAGGCTCTGCAGGAGGCAGATAAATGGAGCACCCTGAGCGCAGACATTGAGGAAACCTTCAAAACTCAGGTGAAAAACCTACTTCTGAATGCTGCTTTCACTTAATCATATGGAACTTTATGTGATTCGATTCTTTCTGTAAATAACAAATGAAAAATGTATATAATTAGCGTGTTTTTGTAGTATTTAATGTGTTGAACTGAAAGTTCAGGGGCTAAATCTACTTTTATGTGGCCCCCTGGACTCCAGAGCGACACGCAAATAAAATCTTCAGAGACATTTGTGCTTAAATATTGTTTCATCAATAACATTAAAGCACTTTTTATCTGTTTTCTGCCAAATTACATCAACCAGTCCGTGCAATTTTTCACAGAAGTTTATGCAAAAATGATTTATTTTTTTCTGAATTTTTGCACTAATACATAATTCTAAATGTTTGTAAAAATGTTCAATCACTTTGGGCTGGGGTGATGCTAACTTCCACCAGCAGAGGGCGATATTCCTGCTGCCTCAGCTTCACTTGAAGCCAGATGATCAATACGGAAAGTAACAATAATTCAGAATTACTGTCATACGTAAGTGGATATATTGCAAAATTTGCTGCAAATATTTCTAAATTATCACCAGAAAATCACAAAAACAATTGCAAAATTCTGAAAAATGTGAAAAAAATGTTCAATAGTTAATTTTAAGAAACACTTATTGAATGCAGAGGCAGCTGTTAATTTGTTCATTTTAACAGCTCTATATTAATATTAGTTTTGTCATTAAGAGTTCATGTATTTTATCAATTCATCCTGACTCTCTGGCTGTTGTTATAATTTAGTCTTATAAGGCTCATATGTTTTCAGGACCTGGAAATCATTTCGTCCAAGCTGACCAGCATGCAGAACAGCCTGGCCATGCTGGTGGACACACCGGACTATTCTGAGAAGTGCGTCCACCTGGAGGCGCTGAAGAACCGCCTGGAGGCCATGGCCAGTCCTCAGATAGTAGCAACCTTCAACTCCATGTCTCTAGGTAACTCAAAGGCAGCTCCACCTCCTTCTATCCTCCCCACCGCAGCGTCAACGACACACAGCTTCTCTTCTCCCTGCAGATCAGGCCAAGGTGTTTGTTAAAGTCTTCACAGAGATCGACAGAATACCCCAGCTTCTGGCGTACTACTATAAATGTCACAAGGTATGTTGTCCATTTCAGGATTTATCAGGTTACTAAATCAGGTTTAAGTCAAGTAATCCGACTTATTAGTCAGGGTTAGTAACCTGATTTATTGAGTTACTACATCACACCAAGGAATAGGGTTGCAGGTTAATGATTAACAAACTAATATAAAGTTGATTTTATTGGTCGACGACATTGATTGATAATTGGCTTTTTTCTTAAGTTTTCTCTTGTATCAAGAAGGCCGACCGTCTTCCCATGACAAAGAGCTACACTTTTCATAATATAACATCATTAAATTTTAACAACAAAAAAAACATTGTTCGATTTTAGCATTATTTTATCAGTTGCATTAAATACTGATTGGATAAACAGAAAATTGTGATTTTCTCACATGAATAAACTCAGATATATTTATAAAATATAACAAAAACAAGAACCTCTTAGGTTTCTGAATAAAGGACTAAAATGTGAATTAATACTTAGTTCCCTGTGAACAGACGCATGTTAATAAGTTAGTCCTGTCTGTAGCTTGCTCTCGGAGGAAAGTTAAAAATTTGCTCCTGCTTATTGGCATCACATTTTTTTCCCATCACGATACAATTTTTTTCCGTCGACCCCTCCGGTTTGCTGACATCACATCCTCTCCTTCGTAGCGCGTCACAAATCTTTGAATGAGAAGCTAACGTTATTGCTCGGTCGAATCAGCGCTATTAAGGTGAAACTTAAGACGCCTGTCAATGTAAGTTTTTATATTTCAAAACAAGACCACATAAAGAGCCTTTTACGTCCCGTAACGGGCTGTTTGGACCGTTTACCTTTGCTGGTCTTACATGGTGGCCATTTTGTACCAACTGGCTCCTGAAGGAAGACCAGCAGCGCCCTCTGCTGCATGGCTCCAAAACTACACCATTAAAAAAAGGTCGAAGAGGACGTGTTTAGTTGATAGATTTGAACTTATTATCATCTAATAAACCCTTAATGGACAGTTTATTGTAAGTGAATGAATTGTTTGCATTTGCCACGTTAATAATCACCTGATTCATGTGGAATAATGTCTGATCTGGTGTCTGCAGGGCCAGTTGGTGAGCATATGGCAGGATCTCTCTCAGAGCGAGCTCAGTCTGAATCAGCAGCTGTCCGAGTTCTACGATACGTTACTCTCCACTTGGCACGCACAGGTTCAGTGGAGCAGCCAGGTCAGACCTGCTGCAGCACCAGCATGATTGGTTTGGACTGAGTGATGATTGGTGCTAAACTGTGTGATGCTAAACCGCTCCAGGTGTTTAAGAACCCGTATGAAGTGGTGACGGTTCTGCTGATCCAGACGCTGGGGGCCATGGTGCCGTCCATCCCTGTGTGTCTGAGCAGCGCCATGGAGCGGGCCGCCTTGGAGCAGCGCCTGGACTCCCTGCTGGAGCTCCACCAAACCACCTCCACCTTCGGCCACAGCCTGGAGGCGGCCATGTTCCCACACCTGGGTTTGTACAAACATTCTCTCATGTCACAACCACAAGCTGCAGTTTTATTCTGTGTGATAAGTTGAGGAAAAGCAGCTCAGAATTGTGAAATGGTTAAACATTGGCTTCATAATTTGGTTTATTAAAATCTCAAAAGTGTGCCATGCACATGTATTCAGCCCCACAAAATACATGAGTTTCAGACATTGTTGTGACAGGTTCCATTAAAGTCTCAATCTACAGTCCTTGGCAGACTGCAAGTTAAAGTCTTGTGAATATTTTTTCCAGGTGAGAATAACCTGCTGAAGGTGAACGAACTGGTCTGCGCGCTCTACGACCCGTACAAGTCCTACCAGCTGCAGTACGGCGAGCTGGAGGAGGCGTTCCTGCTCATCCAGATCAGCGCCGTTCCTCTGGTTAGGCCGCCTCTCACCTGCAGCAGAACTAGCAGATAAGCAGCCGTTTCCCTGTAGCGTTCAGGGTTCTTTCTTTCTGTGGTGTTCAGGAACACGGGGAGGTAATCGACTGCGTGGAGGAGCTCAGCCACTCTGTGGGGAAGTTGTTTGGCCTGGCGAGCGGCGCCGTGGAGCGCTGCGTCCGACTGACCGATGGGCTGGCCGTGTGCGGCCTGCTCAGAGCTCTCAAAGCCCTCTTCACCAAGTAAAGACGCTTTTCTCGTTTCCAGCTTTAACGAGGGCTGAGCGATCAATCTACTTGATCAGTTTTCAGTTTTTGAAGATTACGCAGTCCTTGGGTTTCCATAGCTCAAAGTGATGTCAGCACGCCCTGGGCGGCCATCTTGTTTGACATTCCTGTTAGACAGCTTCTGTTTATTTACACTTTGAATTCTACAATAAAATATTACAGTCAAACTACAATTTTTTCTTTTAGAAGTAATAATAAAATGAAAACAGTTGTAATATCACAGGAATATAGTTGTAACATGAGGAGAAAGAAGTAGTAAAATAGTTCTTATTAAAATGATTTTTCTCATAATTTTAAAACGTTCTTTTAGTAAAATTGCGACTTTATTTTGCCAATATTTTCAATTTTTATGTTCTCATAATTAAACTAAATTCTTCATATAGTGCCCTTAATAAAAGCCACTTTTTGAGAATGTTTTCTATCATTTGAAATGTATTTCTGAGAAAAGAAAGCAAGAAAAAAATCAATTAAAATCGGACCTGGTTTGGAAAAAATCTGAGCTTTTATTGTTAAAAGCTCAGCCCTAATTTGAATTTATATCCAACATATTCCTGAGAATAACCGTATGACTCCTTTAAAAACTCAGGTATGTGTCGGACTTCTCTACAACGCTCCAGTCAATCAGGAAGAAATGCAGACTGGAGGAAACGCCAAGTTCCTCTGCTTTCCAGGAGGACTGGACCGCCTTCCAGAACTCAGTCCGGTGAGTGTGCTTTTGAAACAAAGTTAATCCAATAACTTGGAAACAACTGATCGATTTACTTGTCAATAAATTGTTTACTCTATTAAAATGAGCTTAAATCAATAATAACGTCGCTTCAGCCTCCTTTCAGTGTTGTAGTTTGGCCTCCAAACAGCAGAGGGCGATGCTGGTCGATATTGAATCAAAGATAGCAGAGCCAAATCAGAATGGGAAAGAGAACGGGTCCAAATAGCCGTGTTGATGGAAAAGCAGAGGCAAAACAGAAAAATACAAACAAGGTTCATTTTCTTTTGTAAAAACAAACAGACAGAACTTCTACATGTTCAAGTGTTTCACATATTTAAATATTTTTATTTTTCTATTCAGAAAAAGATTCCTGTTTTGTTATATTTTATAAATGTAATTTTAATAATGTGAGAAAACTAGAATTTTCTGTTCATTCAGTCAGTATTTAACACACCTGGCGGCAACAAATGATGTTAAAATTTATGTTTATTTAAATTCTGCATTCAGCAATAAAATGGCCGCTTATCAGTTCGTCGATGGATAAGATGAAGTTTAGATGAACTCATTGATCTTGCAGGATCATCGCCACATGTGGAGAATTGCTGCGACAGTGCGGTGCCTTTGAGCAGCAGCTGTCAAACAAGTGAGAAACATTTTTCCTGTCATCTGTTTTTATTTACTTTCTCAAATAGAACCCAGCTTCAGTTTTTAAGAGTGAATAAAATAATAAAAAATCCTGCTTATCCCACAGGATCCTGGGCACAGCGGGTAAGTACTTATCGGAGTCTTACAGCCCACGCAGCCTGGCCGGTATTCAGGAGGCCAGCTCGACGGAAAGGAAAAACGCCACTAAAAACCCCTGGCAGGAGTACAACTACCTCCAGAGGGGCAACGTGGCCGAATACAACAACCTGATGGAGATCCTGTTCTCCCTGAAGGTAGGACGCAGGCTGCAGTCAGCAGTGAGCGTCTTGCTGCTGATCTTCTGGTGAATAACAATAGTGGTTGTTGCAGGAGAAAGGCACGGGGAACTCCAACCTGCTGGCTGAACCCAGATCAGCTCTGACCCGCCTCAACCAGCAGGCCAACCAGCTGGCCTTTGACTCCGTCTTCCTGCAGATCAAACATCAGCTCTGCCTCGTCTCCAAGATGGAGGTGAGCGCGTGTCGGGTTTCCACATGATGTGATTTCAGGTGTTATTGGGTATAATTTTAGCTCCTCAGTGTTGTGGGAGATTTACTTTGGAGTGCTGGGTGTCCTGTTTCTGGTGCTTGCTCTGGTTTAGAGTCAGGACGCTTCTGCTATTGGAGAGAGCTACACTGAAGACCTGCCGACTTTCAGCCTGTCACCACAGGAGTATATCACAAACGTAAGTTTATGCTTTCATTTAAAACTTTCTTTGATTCAAAGGTGATTAAATTTCAAAGAATTCAACACAAGGAAAAATAAAAGTTTATTACATCACAACTAGTCGTGTCATAATAACAAATTTTTCCTGTTCCAGATAATGTTGCAATAAATTTTTATAAATAAGCTTAAAAAAAGATTTAGATTAATCTCTGAAATTTTTTTGCAAAAACAAGAAAATGTGAGTTTGAAAAGTGAAAAAATTGCAAGAATAAACTGAAATTTTGAGGTTGAATTTTCTGGAAAAAATCTTGGAAAATTTTGAGTTTGGAATGTTGAAAATCAACTTGAAAAAAAGTCGAACATTTTTTAACTTTTTTTTTTTTTAATTGCATAGTTTGGTGGCCGAAAGTTTCTCTATATTTGGGTTGTAATACTTTGTCTTATGTGTGAACTTTTGCAATTGCAAAATCACTAAAAACTGAAGGAATTGATTGATGTAATGTAGCAGCGAATGGATAAAATCTGCTTTGATTTGACGGATAAAACAATATTTTAGCACACAACTTATGTCTCACTGGAGTCCCGATGAACCATAAAAACCTCTGGCAGGCTGGTTTTTGTTTATCCGGCTCAAACGACCCTCTTTCCTCTTTGCAGATTGGACAGTACCTCATGTCTCTGCCTCTCCACCTGGAGCCCTTTGTGACCCAGGAGGACCCGGCGCTAGAGATGGCCTTACATCTGGGAAGCTGCCTTTCCCTCCAGAGCAAGGTACTTCACCACTTCCTTGAATTCATCCTCATTTTGATATTCTCTACTGTTTCATATCTACATGACCAGATCTTAAGAACTCTATCAAAGCTTTTCTCTTATTAAAACAACATTTTTCTTGCAATTTCATGACTTTCTTCCGGATACGTATCGGGAGCGCGGTGCATTTAGCGCCGCGCGGTGAAAGCATTTCAAACGTTTTGAGCGTTTGACGCTGCAGTTGAAAAGTCGGAACCTTTGCAGCTGGATGCAGAGCGTCAACCGATTACGTGTGAAAGGCCGCGTTCGGCGTGAATGCAGCAGCATCGTTCGCCATCGCAGGGCCGCAGCAGAACCAAAACTTTTCCCCTCGTTGTCTCAGGCGATGACCTTCCTGAGTTGGACAACACAGCAGACTACTGGCTGGGCTCCATCGCCAGGGCAACCATGCAGACCTACTGCGACGCCATTTTGCTCATCCCCCACCTCTCCCCTCATTCCACCAAACAGCTGGCCACAGATATCGGTATGGAGACCAGGAAACGCCTGCAGCTTCTGTTGGTTCTGTCATTGTGTGTGCAGTCATGTGAGTTTGTCTCCTTCAGAGTATCTGAGCAACGTGATGGACGCTCTGGGCCTGCAGCCGTCCCGCTCGCTGCAGCACATCGTCACGCTGCTGAGAGCCAAACCTGAAGACTACCGGCAGACGGCCAAGCTGCTGCCGCGCCGCCTGGCGTCCAGCCTGGCCGCGCTGCGCGCCATCGACTACTAGCCATTAACAATGAATAACGGCTGTTTTACACGTTGCTCTTCTTTGATTCGGCCTTTTCTGTGATCATTCTCTTTGTGTTTGGCAGCATTTTGGGTTTTTGTTCATTTTGGAGCAGAAGAAACTGAGATCAGAAGGTTTTCCACATTCTTTCCCAAGTTTTACCAGGAAGTCTGCCTTCAGTTTAAGCCAAAATCTGATATTTATATATTGATATTTATGCATTTATAAGAGAGTAAATTCTATTATCCATATATCTAATTAACTATTCCATACTGATAACTGATCTGGGTGATGAAGCTATTCAGAGGAGGTTGTTCTGTTCTGCTTTTTATTAAATCAGTCTCATGTTTTGCTAAAACATAATTAGAGGATATATTTCGGTTTTGTTTGGGATGATTGTCTCTATTTTGGGTAGCAAAGCTTTTTTTGTATTGTGAAAATCTGTATTATAAAAATCTATAATGGAGCCTTGATGTGTTTGATTATTTTTATAAGCTTAATGCAGAAATTAATGTGTTTCAATGTTTTGTAACTGCTGGAAAATGTGTGGAGAAAAAAAGAATCTGCCTTCCCGAGTTTATGCAAAAATATTTCTCCACTTTAAGACACTGAGCTGCAATTAAATATTAAAACTAATTTAAAAAATGCTAATCTCAAAAATAACTGTTTTATAGAAGGTCTCTGCAGAGGAAAAATTCACATCAGTGCAAAATTAAGCTTTTTTCATCCATGTACATGAATTAGAGCAAATATACTTAAAATTTATCCAAAATATATTTTTCAAAGTTGTTAAATTTGTATGAATATTTCATAATTTTATGTTAATTTGATTGAAGTAATTCCACAAAGCATCAACCTTCAAATTACTATTACTTTTTTATTTTCACCTTAAATAATCACTGCAGTATTTTGGGGCTTACATAAGTCATACAGTTACAGTAAAAGTTACTTTAGTTACTCTACTTTTAATTTTATTATGAAGTATCACTAATCTTGAGTTAAATTTCTGGGTAAATTCCCTGAATGAAACATAAATATTTTGTAACTCCAAAATGTACCAAGCTCTCATTTGTGTTGAAGTGAGACCTCCTGTTTGTTCACAATCTTTGTAGTTTTATTTTCTGTTTAGACATTCATGAATCACTAAAACTACCAAAACCTCTGAAGTTAGATTCTTTTTAACTGCCTTATCATTATGAAATATCTTCATCGTTGTTTCTGTTTTGGGGCCTTTATAATAAAATGAGTCGAGGTTCTGCTGAGCAGGTCCAGATGTTCGGATGTTTTCCCTCTGGCTGCTGCTCGGCTCGGTTCGGTTCGGCTCGGCTCGGCTCGGCCCGGGAGAATGGAGCATCATCATGCTGCTGGACCAGCTCTCCTCCAACATGGACCAGTGTTTGGGCGTGACGTCAGCCGTCACCGCCCTGCCGCCCGCAGTATCTCTGCCTACAAACTGATGATGGAGTCGGGGAGCAGCGGCCTCGCAGTGGAGCCCATCCGGAGGCGGAAATAAGGCGGATTCAACCGAAGACCAACACTGGACGGACGGAAAGAGCGGGGGACAACTTTCGGACGGGGACAGGGCTGATCATGTCCACTCGCGGCCCGGGAAGCGATGCCTCTCCGCGGCCAGTCGGCAGGGAGCGGCGGGCTGTGAGGCTCCGGTCCGGGGCTTCCCTAGTTTGATCGGAGCGGTGGAGGTGATTTAGGGTGAATGTTTCCTAAACCATCATTTAAAAACAGAAAAACACTCATTATGGACCTGAATCCGGAGGGACCGGTCCACCTCTAGCAGGGTGGAGCTGCGGGTTAATAAATGATGAAGCTGCTGAAGATGTTGATGTCCGACAGGAACTCCAGCGCTCCGATGTTGAGCCTCAACAATGGCACAGGTGCTTCTTCACCAGCTGCAGATGCTGACGGCTGCGTCCAGCCGCGGCTTTAACCCCGAACACTCCGACAGTGACGCGCCGCTGCTGCCAGTGGGCTGATTCGGTTCTGATCGGGTTCTCCAGAACTGCGGGGCCTTCATGTTTCTGTGAAATATGCCCGGGCCTCGTCCAGAGCGAAGTGATGGAGAGCAGATGTTGTGAGCGCACAGCGGGGAAACGTTTGTGCAACTAAGGCGCAGCAGCAGCTGCTGCAGCAGCTGCAACAGCAGGGGGCCATCATGTCCAAAGTGGTCAGCAGCAAAGAGAAGAAATCCTTCAGCAAGAAGCTGTTCCGGAGGAGCTCGGTCCGATCTGTGGGGAGCTTCATGAACAGAGTCCTCCGGACCCTGTCCACTCTCTCCCACTTCGGAACCGACGAGCAGGCCGCCGACGACGAGAAGGACGAGGCGGCTTTGATACCGAGCACCACCGGGGGCTCCGTCCCGTCCGACGACAGCGACTGCGGGGGTTTCCCCTTCGGGGACAAGGTGCCCGGTGTCGCCGGGCTCAAGAACCACGGAAACACCTGCTTCATGAACGCCATCCTGCAGTGCCTGAGCAACACGGAGCTGTTCGCGGAGTACCTGGCCCTGGAGCAGTTCCGGGGCGGGGAGGCGAGCAGCGGCAGCAGCGACAAGGCGAAGCCCAACGGGGCGCCGCTGGTCCAGAGGAAGGGGAGCAGCCAGCCGCAGGAGGCGGGAGAGGTGACGGAGCAGCTGTCCGGGCTGGTCCGGGCTCTCTGGACCTTCGAGTACACACCGCAGCACAGCAGGGACTTCAAGGTAAACTGTGGAGCAAATGCAGAAAGTTTGAAAAGTGTTGTTCTGATCAAATATCTGCAGGAGTTTTCAAAACAAAGGGTTTTGTTTAAATATCAGAATAATTTATATTTAGATTTGGGATAATTTTCCTGTTTCTAAGAACATCAACACAACACTGTAAAACATTTACTGTTGGTTTAACTTGAAAATAAAAGTCCACCTGCTACCTGGAAAATGACATTTAAGTCAACAATAAAATTATTTTGGTTTGAACTCATAAATTAAAGTTCATGAAGTTGAACTTTAATTCACAAATTGTCTAAACGTCGTTTTGAAGTTCATTAATCTTGAATTATGACTTTTAACTTAATGCTGCAATTTAAACCAAATAATTGTTTCACAATATGCAAGAAAAAATATGCTCCTCTAGTTAAAGAGGAGCGTATCACAATTTGAAGTTAAAATAACTTATTTTACTGTAGAATCATTTAAATTCTTGTTCCAAATCGCATGAACAAAATTTCTGATCTGACGATGAATTTTATTAAATATCTCAATGAATTCAGCTCAGAAACATTTAGTGTGATCAGGAATGGGTGTCCAAACTTTTTGCTACATTGGACAAATCAGATTTTTAAAAATAGTAATGCGAAAGTAATTTTATTGTTAATTCAATTTTGTTTTTCCCTACAAAAACTACGCATGTAATATTGTAATGCAATGAACAGAACCACTGAAGGTGAGCAGTTTCCTACATATTTGGAAACAATGACTGGAAATGTGAGTTTAATGAACAGACGTGTCCAAATCTGCCTTTAAATCATAATTTATTGAATGTTTGTGGTTCTTCTAGCAGTGACATTAACAATCTGGTTAATAAAAGTGCAATAATTTGTTTTTAACATAAAAAGTTTTAATTTGTTGGCAAAAATCTTACCTGTCAAAATCTAAATCATGCCAAGGACAGTAAATGGCCCTCGTACCGCACTTTTGGACACCCCATTGATTAAATTTAAATTATTGAGCACTAATTTCAATCATTTTTCTTTTCAAACAAAGTAAACTGAGTTGTTCTGAGCAGCAGTGTGGAGTTGGTTTAAAGCTGGAGAACTTGAACACTTTTCTTTTAAAAATCTAAAAATCGTCTCCCATAACACATTTTAAATCAAAAATGCCCCAAAAAGCTGCAGGACTAAAGTTGTTATTTCCAGAATATTGCAGCTTTATTGCAGGAAAAACATGTTCAACAACACAATAAAAGACATCCTCCAAAGAGTGATGCATTTGCTTTACAAAGGCCACGACTTTCATTCAGCCTGAGCTGCACTTAACTTCACTTTAAAAGCACATTTCAGAAATGAAAACTTTGCCTCATGAAAGCCTGCTCATCATGGGCGTATTTCTTTCAGTCCTGCAGCCTGTTTTCTTTCAAAAGCCCAAAAAAGCTCAGAAGAAAAGCTAACTGGAAAGGGTCATTGAGCATCAGCTTTACTTTGACAGCCTTACTATTTTTGGACCTTTTTTCCTCTTCTACCTCGGTTGCCAGTCAGGGTATAAACAGCCTGATTGGATATATTTGTCATTATTGTCAAAAGCAGAGGCAATGAATATGGAGAGCCAAATGGAAAATGAGACTTAGTTTGCAATATCTTCTTAGTCAGATTAGCAGGATTTGCCCAGATCAGTTTCTGAAAACGCCTGAATCAGATCAGACGACTGGATCACATCCATTTCATGTGAGTTTGTCTTTCAACAGTCGCTGGACTCAGAAATGTTCCAGTAGGAACCCACACTGCAAAACCACAACATTTATTTTTGTCTGATTTCCAGAGCAAATAACTTATTACACTTGAAATAAGACAAAAATCTGATTTGTCCAATAAGACAAAAAAATAAGACAGGAAACTTTTCAGCAAGAAATATGAGCTCATTGTAAGTCATCAATTCCTTAATCTTAATGAAAAAGTTCTAGCAACCCCAGTTAAGGTTTTCCTGGGGCTCTGCTGACCTTTGAGGTCGTGCAGATCGCCGCCCCGGTCAGACTCGCTGAATATTTTATGACGGCACAAAGTGAAAGGCGCCCCAGCGGGCCGCGGAGCAGGAGAGCAGCTTGTGTAAACGCCGGGTTGTTTCTGTTGCTGCCGCCTGCAGAACGTGGTGTCGAAGAGCGCCCTGCAGTTCAGAGGGAACTCCCAACACGACGCCCAGGAGTTCCTCCTCTGGCTGCTGGACAGAGTCCATGAAGACCTCAACCAGATCATCCACCCGGACAGCAAACCCCCCAGGAAGGTGAGCACACGTCCAGGCTGCATGTGATGCTGCAGAACCAACAGAGGAATTAAACTGAACATGTTCTGCGCTGTGCGGCAGCCTCCAGTAGAGGAAGAAGCGGTTCCTGAAGGATCTCCGCTGCCAGCGCCTGGATCTTTTGTTCAGGAACTGTTTCAGGCTCAATACAGGTAAAATCTGTGTTATTTATTAACCCTTCATGCCCTAAGTTTTAAATCTCTGCCTGGTTATTTTTGTTTATTTTAATTGTACAACATTCTTTAATATATTTGCCTGTTTCTCCATAACAACTGGAACTGTCACTATCCAGTGAGTTATTTTGGCAATTTACCGTCTATTAAGAGATTTTCATCTGAGGAAACCAAAGAAAAACGCGCTTCCTGCTACAAAGGGAGTGAAATTACCGTAATAACTGAATATTGGCCGGAAACTACAAAGTGTCTCCTTCCAGAAACCGTTTGAATTTTTCAGATAGCGCAACAAAT